TTCACAAAATTTTCAAATTAATTTGCATTTTTCTGAGTCTCAAAATGTTTACTGGAGACAACTAAAAAGTTTCTTTGTCTCTCACCTTTTTTGTAGTTTTTTACAATTTTTCTCAGTTTTAGAATAATCACTTTTGCTCAAGTTCAATTTAAAATGTATATTATAATCCACCTACTAGTGAAAACAATAAGATTTGTCTTGTAGTTTTTTTAGCTGATTTATTATAACAGTTTTGAGATTACATACTTTGACTTCAAGAACAAATGTGTATATAAGAATCACTGCAAAAAATGATAGCAGAAACTGTTACAAATCTGCTGATAAGAATTACTACAAAAATGACACTGAAAACTGTTACAAATGTGCTTATAAGAATCAGTACAAAAATGAGACTAGAAACTGTTACAAATTTCCTTATAAGAATGACTACAAAAAATAACACTAGAAACTGTTACAAGTGCACTTATAAGAATTACTACAAAAAATGAGACTAGACACTGTTACAAATTTGCTTATAAGAATGACTACAAAAAAGACTAAAAATTGTTACAAATGCACCTATAAAAATGAGACTACAAACTGTTACAAATAAGTTTATAAGAATCAGAGTTGTAGGGCAGTTAGAAATTGATTCAATGCTCAGTATGCCAAAAGAGTGACTTTATAATCTAGTTACAAGTTGCTACAATGCCTACTAAGTCTGCCAAAAGGTGACTTTATAACTAGTTACAAGTTGCTACAATGCCTACTAAGTATGTCAAAAGTGTGACTTTATAGTCTAGTTACAAGTTGCTACAATATCTACTAAGTGCACTAAAAGTGTGGATTTGTAATGCTTCAAAGCATCTCTACAATAGTTACTAACAAAATTAGTAACTCGGAATTGTAGATTAGTTAGAAACTCAGAGTTGTAGGTCAGTTAGAAATTGTTACAATGCCTACTAAGTATGCCAAAAGGGTGACTTTATAATTTAGTCACAATTTGCTACAATGCCTACTAAGTATGCTCAAAGTGCGTATTTGTAATGTTTAAAGGCAGGTCTACAATAGTTACTAACAATGTTAATAACCCGGAATTGTAGACTAGTTAGAAGTCTCCAAGTAGATCAGAGCTTATAATGCTCTGCTAGAGGTGTCAATGATAAAGAAACTCGGACTTGTAAGATGCTTTACAATTATTGCTTCAAGCTGGGCTTGTAGCCTAGTTAGAAGTCACAGCATCTATTAAATCTGCCAAAAGTCTGAAGTTATGTTGCTTAAAGGCTGCCCTAGAACAGTTACTAAGAAAGCTGATAACCCAGACTTGTAGACTAATTAGAATTGATTACAAATGCATGAAGTAAGGCCAAAAGTGCGGACTTCTAATTCCTTCTAATGAGTACTGATAAAGCTAGAAAGTCGGACTTACCTGGTGTAATGAACCAGTGAAATGACTTGTAAGCTGAAGTTGGCTGAGCTGGGACAGCCCAGCGGTGAAGTGGTTAACTTGAACTGCAATGAAGAACTGTATCAGGAGGTTTTGGTTCAATCCTGAGCCAGGACAAATATTAGTTCCAGTGGGAAGTCCAGAATGAGGACATGACCACAGGGGTGTGTGGATGCCCTTAAAAGGCAGCTGACTTTTCAGATTTAGGCAAGTGTATTTTGGGGTTAAAAACCTCAAATCAATGCAGAAAAATGCTGAAAAAATGGGAGCATGACTCGCACAGGATGCATAATCCCCTTTCTCCTGAGGAAATAACTTGGGAAAATGTGTGAAAATCAACAAAGTTATACTGTGGGAAAAACACGAGGAAAAAATGTGTAAAAGAATGAAGCATTTTTGCAGTTATTTTCACTGGAAATAAGTTGGTCACTAAATATGATAATTTTGTCCGGATTTTGGCATGTCCTGTCATGTTCTATCATGTTCAGTTGCCTGATATGATAGGCAACTTATTTCCAAGGGAAAAAAACTGTGAGAATGTTTTGTTCTTTTCTCGCTTTTCTCTCAAGGTTTTTTCTCGGAAAATATATCATGAATTTCCATGCTTTTTGCCAGGTTATTTCCAATGGATAAAAGTGGGAATGCTTCCTGTACTGGGGAGTTGTGGGTACCTTATGTAAGTTAGTTGCCCAATTGGGATGACTAAGCATCTCTCTTTTGGTTGATCTCAGTGCTGTCAAGCTCATTTCTAACTCAAATCTCAACAGAATTTAATGTTTCAGAGTGTGAATTAGGTCTGATTTTTGCCCTGAATCCAATGATAATAGTCTCAATGCACAAATTTGACTATAACAAGTTGTGAAAGCTAATCTTATTATATATTGAAGTAGAGCTGTTATCTGTTACCAAGGCTAATCTTAATGTATATTGAAATATGGCTAATATCTGTTATTTAATCTAAGTGCCACAGCCTCCCATCTGTTAAAAGCTATTTGTAAAAGTCGCGTCAGTTTTCAATACAACTGTTTTGAATGTTCGCCTGTAGTTAAGTTGTAGTCAAGTAAGCAGAGCAGTTAGCTCAAGTGTAACCCTAACCTCAGGTCACCAATACAAATTTGTAACTCAAGGTAATCCTAACCTTAAGTCACCCATACAAACTTGTAGTCAAAATTTGTTCTAACAGTTTGTTCAAAAGTTCCTCACGGTATAGGCGCCCATTAAGGGCTCATCTTGCATAAGAACGATTACTTTGTACCTCAGAAATCATAAATCAAATTACCATCTTATTAAGATGTGGGCTTGAAGTGTATATGATAGAGTCATGGTCTAACAAATGAGAATGGCCCAGTTCTCTAGCAGTCACGGAGGAGATCTGTATGAGATTACAAGTGCACATTTATTATTTTGTCACATACAGCCATTCTGACTGTCTGAACATCTCACTGTAACTGTGGATACTGACTGTTCAACTGTCTCAAAATTGATGCCTGTTGACCACCATGACATACTTTCCATGACACAAGTCATTGGGCATTCACAAAAAAATCACAGAAGAACAAGGTAGTTAGGCAAATCTGAAGCCAGGTCTCTGAAGGTGAGACACTGGAAACATGATGAAACCACAAAAATATATAATTTTATTAGAATGTATTTGGACGCACGGCAAAGTAATAAATGTGCACTTCTTACCTCACGATGATAAGCAAGGCACAATGCTGCACATGGCTTGAAGTGTAAAGAGGCTAATAAATAAGAATGAACCTGTTCTCACAATAAGTGAGGCAGCAATCTTGAAGAAGGTCTGCCAATGCACTGCTACCAGCAAGGCACAACACCGTGTGTGACATATAGAGTTTGGCAAAATAAAAATGACCCAGTTCCTGCAATGAGTGAGGCAGCAGTCACGAAGGAGATCTGAGTCTGCCACAATAATGACTCAAAAGGCACTACCACCAGTGAGACAGACTACCACACATAGTGTACAGAGTCTGACAAAATGAGAATGACCCTGTTCCCACAATGAGCGAGGTAACAATTACGAAGGAGACTCGAGTCCACCACAATGATGAAGGCACAACACCGTGCATGCACTTCTGAAGCAAGGAGAACTTGAAAACCCACAAGACATGGGAAAGAAAAACTTACTACAATTTCAGACCAACAACCAACATCTGGAAGTGAAGTCATAGCTGATAGTATGTACTATAGTCATGATGCGATGTAAGCAGTTAGACGACCTCAGTGGCTGCAGGCAATGATACTGAGCAAAGAACTTACTGTGTCACCATGGTCTTCAAGTTCAGGAATTGTCCTGAACAACTTGAACTCTGATGCTCTCGGGCTGGCAGCCTGAGAGAAATTGACAGCTCAGGTAAACACACTTTGAAGCGGCAAACCTCACAGGCAATGTGACTGACATCACTTTCACGTGACTCAACACCACCAAGTTGAACTTCAGAAAACTGTTCTTCGATCATCTGACATGCTCACTGCACCTGCCTGACATTAAGATGACCACTGTGACTGCACTCAGGCTGGACATTCTTGGACAATCTTCGTTTAGAGCTTGTAACTGGACATTCATTTCTTTTTTATCAGTTACTTATTGCAGTTTTAACAGAAGATCTTTCAGTGCTTGCTCTTTGCAGGTGCTGCGGCAACTCTCATTTTCAAGTTCTATCTCACAACTGTAACAGTCATGCCAACTTGAAGTTGTCACTGCTTTCAAGTCCACTGTCTGTCAGTGAGTCTTCAGCACTATCAACAACACTTGTATCTCATGCACTGAGGCTCAGACCACCTGTTTATATATGCATGTATCCTCAGTGTTTTCTATATGAATGTCATTTACAATAGACCCGGCATGCTGGACTATGTACTGAGGAGGCTCAACTTCCTATGGGTGCGATAATTCAAACATGCTGAAAATTATTATGGTCTTAATTATGTTCAGTTTCCTCCTACCTCCAGCAAAAATGCATTCAGTTTCATTGATCCAAGGGATGTGTTGCGAGGCAGTCACATTATATGACACTTTGCTTATGACAAAGTTCATTCAGATGGTATTGGCATTTCGTGTTGCACCCATGATGCTGAAGACTGGTGCAGCTACTTTGTCAATAGGTATATAAACATTTTTGATTCAAGGAACATAGGTACATCAGGAAAAGTCAAATCTGCTTAGCCTCCTTATCTGCCTTAATAAGGAGAAATAAGATGATTATTCTTCTTATTCCTTCTTATTCTTCCTTATTTCTCCTTATTTTTTCTTTTTCCTCTTAATAAGGAAAATAAGGAAGAATAAGACAGAATAAGAAGAAGGATTGTCTTATTTCTTCTTATTAAGGCAAATAAGGAGGCTAATCAGATTTGACTTTTCCTGATGTAATGACTTCAGAGTACTAGGTTTATTGACCATGATATGCTGATGTAATGACTTCAGAGTACTAGGTTTATTGACCATGATATGCTGATGTGCTATCACTGGGGTCCAGCAGTGAGGCATATCTATACTCATGGTGTACCTGCTCCCTTCGCTCCAGTCAATGGGCCTCAATCTGCCCTGATGTACAACATGACTGTATACACCAAAGCAGTTCCACCAGACACCAGCCAGGTCACAGATGCAGAGAATGAGTCTGATGCTAAGCAGCAAGAACTCGAATTAGCAAACTGCGAGAATGATGATTGTGACAATATTCAGACAGATGACAAGGGTGCAGGAAATGACGAGGGTGCAGGAGATGACGAGGGTGCAGGAGATGACGAGGGTGCAGGAGATGATGAGGGTGCAGGAGATAATGTGAGTGATAATAATATAATTATCGTCATGGATGACATGTACGGACCTGACGAGTGGTAGTTTACCACTTAGTGCATAATGTTTTCTTCAATATCTTAAACTTCACACACGCATGCACTGAACTGAATCCTTAATTTCTCTCAGAATGTATCTGAGGCTCGGAGGGCTCTGCATGTGCAGAGTATGTTCAACCCACTATATTGAGGCTGACTTCAAGCTCATTCAGCAGTTGCAGCTGGTTTCAACATTGATTTCTCTGTCAGAGGTCCAGATGGACATCCGCAGCATTTAAATCAGATGTCGTGGTGAAAGCACCAGGACAACGAGCTCATCTTACACATTAGTACCTTGCCCTTACATACCTCAAGAATATTTCTTTCTGCTCATTGTTTTTGCTTCTTTGTACTCACGAAGGGGTATGTGACCATGGTTATGACAGTGACTTGCACTGACAGGCAAGACCATTGTCAATTGAATTCAATTTCTCAAACATTATGAGTAGCTCCATTTCCTCCTGAATTGATTCCTCCTCTGAGTTCACCTTTTACCCACTGTCTCACTGGATATTGGCTAATCCGAGTCATCCTTAGTAAGGTCTATTATATCACAGTCTTGCCTTTGTTCCAAGTTGTTCTGACAATAATGCAGATCAAAAATCTGCTGAGTTGTAATCAAGCAGCACCACTTACATCGTGCAAACAACTCAAGAAACTCTGACTTGGTGAGCCTGGGTTGCACAGATGAGTCCAACTACTGATCTGTTGCCTTTTGCACTGTGTCACAGTTGTAATATCCTCTTGCATGACATTTAGAATACCAAAAGTCTCAGCCTTGCATCTTCATTGGAAATAAACAGCTGTACCTATCATGGTGTATGTTCTCTTCAACCCTTGACAGTGCTGATGACTTAAAATGCCTTTGGTAGACTACTGTAAACCAGGAGACTTTGTGGCCCTGCGAAGTACCCACCTTCTGTTGATAGCCTTTCGGAATTGTGCAATACAGGCAGAGGACAGCATTCATGGGGGCCTAAATTAGTAATGACTCTTCAAAAGCAGAACATCCAGGATGATAATTATGATCTGACTTACCTCACATAGCATAGGCTCTCAACTGGATGCCCATCTTCTGATAAAGTCTCTCTATTGCCACTGGAATCGCTAACTGTATCAGAAGAGAGTTCAAACCACTATAGCAGGAAAAGCTCACCAGCATACCCGCACTCGCTGTGGGCGTACTTAGCAATATATTCTCTGGTGTAGCAGCTGAAGGTAGCGAGGAAAATGGTTGCTTCGACTGGTCAGTCAGTGCCTGCAAGAAGCGGGCAAAGGCAACTGGGCTTATGGACATGATGGGTGAGACAGTGCTCTCGCAGTGTGGAGGGGGTCACTCTTAATCCTTTAACAATGGGCCTTCAAGACAATTAATTCAGATGAGGCATTACCGTAATAACTTGAATGGGCCATGGGTGCATACCATTCCCACGGCACTAGAATCCCATCAGTGTGGTCATAGTGAAGAACCATGTTGACCTCATGCCTCAGCAGTCTTGGTGATGAGCCAGTGTAAACATGACGACTGGGAGCTGCATGATGCTATGCAGGTAAGTTGTAATGATATGGCTATTCAAAATTTTAGAGGGTTTATATATGTATGATCTGCAGTATTAGAGGCAGCGACCTCTGAGTCACGGGCCGACCAATGAGTCATTCTAAGTGACTCTGACTGACTCCTCAACACTGCTCTCAGCCTTTATACATCATGATCGCCACTGTGCTGCAGCAAGCCTCTCAGGCAGCTATTCATATGCTGGCACCACAGCCTGACTCGGAGTGACTAGCAGATGCTAGGACAAGTTTCTTGCCAATAAGATGTCAACTTGAAGTCAGAGTGGCCTCATCTGGAATTGTGTCACTGCAGATTTGGGACATTATAGCATACTGGTTGAGTTCAGTTGTTGTGGATGCTGGATATACCATTATGCTATTGGAATCCCCAGGACCCTCCAAGTCATTATTATTATTGAGAAGTCTGCAGCCTGTGGAACTGTGACCTTACCCAGGTTAACTTGAATGCAATGTTTTTTCCTGAATGGCCACTGTAAGTGCGGCATCGCACAGGGCATAGAAGGAACCTGGAAGTGGAAAAGCATGAGCAATTCAGAGGGTGAAGAAACCTTGCAAGGGAAGTAATCTTGTGACAAATTTTCCGGTCTTTTATGCAAACAACTGCAGCGAACATCTTATGCATGCTTGTAAGACTTAAACAACTACATAGCTGCATTGTACACAATGTTCAGCCAGTTGAAATCCTGACATCAATGTAGCAAACAGATCTTCTGTTGCCACAATAATGGTCATTGACAAACTTCCCTAAGGCCACACATCAGGAATACCCAACTTTTACTTAAAGGTGTTCTTATGTGACTCAAATGCACTTATGGGCCTTAAATAAGGTAAAAAAGGACAAAAAGTCCATAAGTCATATTTTCTTAGAGACTTAAAAGTCGACTTTTGGCAACTTATGGATCTTAAATAAGGCAAAAAAGGACAAAAAGTCGGAATAAGTTCCTTAAGTAAAAGTTGGGTTTTCCTGATGCCAGATGCATGATCGAACTCTTATCGCCATGCTGCAATAATTCCAACCATATGTCAGCTTTTGACTGAGTCCAAACAGAGTTAATTTCCATGAATGATCATTCATGTACTGTTAATATATAATATTCTAGTACAAAATCTCAACATCATGCAGAGAGACTACAAATGGTTATCACACATTGAGCATCCGAATTCAATTATTCTACATACAGCTCAGCTCTGGACAAAGGACTAACATAATTATACCTGGGGACCGACTACTCACACACTGATAGTATGTTATATTTGAGTAGCATCATATACATACATCAGGCATAAAATCACTTCAGGGTACCTTTCCGACCTAGCTCTTAGCTTCAACATAATCTATATTGTGTAGTGGCTAAGAGCCTCTCAGGTGTCAGACAGACCATGGTACCAATACATGTCCCAGGGCATTATATGGGATTACCCAGGGCAAAGGCAGGGCATAGGCTGGTCCAATGACACAATTATCATATGGGATGTCCTATAGTACTAGGGCATTGATATTTATATCCCAGTATTACTGGTTGTCCCATGGTGCCAGGGATACATAGAGATGTTCCACTATTCGTAAAAGATGTATTTTCAGGCTATTGTATGGTAGTTTTTTTATACTTTATTCCACTATCATATTATCTAAGCCTTAATTATAAAAACAGTGACTAGAATACTGTAAATAAGTGTCTTATTTGCATTTTATATATGGTGAAATATTTATAGAAAGCAGGATATCCCATATCAAGTATTGTGTATACATTTATAATGTTATAAAGACTATATTACTATTGGTAGCATGTACAACAACTTCATTACCTCATATAACAACTAAGACAGATCAAACAATAATGTTTATTCTCGTGTTTTAAAATCAATTTTACATTTTCTGACATAATGTTCAGACTAACATGATATAATCTTTGGCATATAGTATGCATCATAGCTATACTACAACTTTCACCAAGTGTCTCAAGAAATAGAACAACTCAGTCTACTAATATACTAGCAAAGGAGATATATTCTTGTCATGTCTCCTATCATATACTGTATTTAAATGAAAAAAGAAAGGCATTTGACCTAAGACTTCAGTCAAGTTACACTCAGAAATGCATTCACTGAATGACACCTCTGTATTATGGGATGTCCCTTTATGTGATGGGATATCCCTTGTAAGGACCTGTCACTCTTAAACCTTAGTAATTCAACTGTTAGTATAAATCTCCTAGATAATTATAGTAGTTAAATAGAAACTTCAGGCTAAAGAAAAGACTAAATATCTGTGAATCTTAAAATAACATCTCAGGATGTCCTTAAAATGGGAGATCCCACCTTATATAATATGCAAATAAAGTGCTTGTTTATATCACTATAGTCACTGTTTTTATAATTAAGGCTTAGATAATATGATAGTGGAATAAAGTATAAAAAAACTACCATACAATAGCCAGAAAATACATCTTTTACTAGTAGTGGGACATTCCTATGTACCTCTGGCACCATGGGACAACCAGTAATACTGGAATATAAATATCAATGCCCTAGTACTATAGGACATCCCATATGATAATTGTGCCATTGGATCAGCCTTTGCCCTGCCTTTGCCCTGGGTAATCCCATATAATGCCCTGGGACATGTATTGGTACCATGGTCTGTCTGACACCTGAGAGGCTCTTAGCCACTACACAATATAGATTATGTTGAAGCTAAGAGCTAGGTCGGAAGGGTACCCTGAAGTGCATGAAATCGAAGCTAGTCACGCTGTTGTCAACTCCGACTGGTCATGTTAGTGCCCCACTGATTCCCTGATGCATTACACTCCTTGGTGGCAGCATTCAAGTTATATTCACCAAACTTCAGGACATGATCAGATTATGCTGCCACAGTGTTTGTTTCCTGCAGTACTAAGATGAATGCATGAGTCGATGATGTTCCAAGGTTGAGTGGCCGCTGAGCGTGCTGAGCGGGCCCACTGGCAGAGGTCGCAAGCGCCCGTCGGCAACAGAACGGGTTGTAACCCCAGGCTTATCGATTTGAACTGCCGGTGTATGGAATCCGTAGTAAATTTCGGGCTCCGTCTAAATTGTCCGACCTGGCAATAAACCCCCCGCGTCCGAAAGCAGACTACCTAGCGCGCCATACTGGGAAGAAACGATAGACGCTCGCCGTCACCGTTACACTCATCCACCGCACATTCCACTATGTCCGAAGACGAGCGGACTCTAGATCATCACACTGATTCTGACAGTGAAGGGGAGGAGAGTGAGATTGGCGAAGCGGTTGTGAAAGTTGAGATTGATCCGTCAAGGTTGACTCCTCTCTCTCCAGAGGTGATCTCAAAACAGGTGGGGACTCCTCCCTCGTTGCATCCGATTGTCTGACACACTCATTTTCGCAGGCGACGATTAATTTGGGTATGCCCGCCAATGCGCCAGTGACTGAGGCTCATGTAGATCATGCAGGTACGATCGGTCATGTCGCGCACGGCAAATCGACAGTGGTGAAAGCCATATCCGGCGTCATGACTGTACGATTCAAGAACGAATTAGTGCGGAATATTACCATAAAACTTGGGTATGCGAATGCCAAAGTGAGTTATTTCTCTCTGTGAGACGTGACCAACTTAATCCTACGCCGATAGATTTACAAATGTGAAAATGATGCTTGTCCAAGACCTGGATGCTACCGCTCTTATCGCTCTGACAAGGAAGACAATCCTCCATGTGAGAGGCCGGGCTGTGGGTATCGAATGAAGCTCGTTCGCCATGTCTCGTTCGTGGATTGCCCTGGTCATGATATTCTGATGGCGACAATGTTGAACGGCGCAGCAGTCATGGATGCCGCGCTACTGCTTATTGCGGCAAACGAGACTTGCCCCCAGCCTCAAACCTCGGAACATCTAGCGGCGGTGGAGATCATGAAATTGGAGAACATAATCATCCTACAAAACAAGGTCGATTTGATCAAAGAGGCACAGGCTCTGGAGCATCAGAAGAGCATATCGGCGTTCGTCAAGGGTATGCTATTTTAGCACCCGTCCGCTGAGCTCTGATTAAATGATACGGCTAGGAACTGTTGCGGAATCCTCTCCCATCGTGCCAATATCTGCACAATTGAAGTATAACATAGATGCCGTGAATGAGTACATTGTCAAGCGCATTCCTATCCCTGTCCGAGATTTCATGGCCGAACCCAAACTCATCGTCATCCGCTCCTTCGATGTGAACAAGCCCGGTGCAGAGGTCGACGAGTTGAAAGGAGGCGTTGCGGGCGGCTCCATTCTTACCGGCGTGCTCCATTTAGGCCAGGAGGTAGAGATTCGGCCAGGAATCGTGACCAAAGATGCGCAAGGTCGCAACAAATGCAAACCAATCTTCAGCCGCATCATTTCGTTACACGCTGAGAGCAATCACTTGCAGTTCGCCGTGCCAGGTGGTCTCATTGGTGTCGGAACACGTATTGACCCCACACTCTGCCGAGCCGATCGTCTTGTTGGACAAGTCCTCGGTGCTGTAGGCAAATTGCCTAACATCTACAGCGGTACGTATGGGTTTGGCTATTGAATTATGCCATCTAACTGTTCATCAGAGCTAGAAATCAGTTTATTCTTGCTTCGCCGGCTTCTGGGTGTTAAGACGGAAGACAAAAAGCAGACGAAGGTCACCAAGCTGGTGAAGAACGAGCTGCTGTTGATCAATATCGGTTCTACGTCAACCGGTGGTCGTGTACTGAGCGTGAAAGCAGACTTAGCAAAAATCCAATTGACGTCTCCAGCGTGCACCGAGGTGGGTGAGAAGGTTGCGTTGTCGCGCAGGATTGAAAAGCATTGGCGACTTGTGGGTCAGTGAGAGCGTCTCCGATCTTGATTGGCATCACCTAACACATCTTACCAGGATGGGGGAGCGTTCAGCGAGGAACGGTGCTAGAAGTAGACTAACCGTGTTGTATTTGTCTTGCTTGCGATGTGTAGCCATACCAACTTGTGCGAGGTACAAATCTTCGTGGTCCACAGCGCGCCACGTTTATAACCGTGCTATTTTCTTGCTTGACCTCTCCCGTTATTATGGGCACGTCGTACTTATGCACGAGGTGCGCTTTGGCACTGCTGGTGAGAGATTCAGCTCATGGTAGATGCAGTAAAATACAGGCAAGTAGAGCGAGACTCAGGAAGGCGAGGAATCTATTAGGTCCAGCTCTCTGATGTCTACTCCTGCAAACGAACGGCTCTTCACGCGACGTGTTTCAAGCTCACGCTTAGCCAGCCACAGATGTAACAGCGTAATGTAGTCTTTCGCCTGCAAGATTCTATACCTTAGCTGCGCAGCTGAGATAGGGATCTAGTACATACCACAATGAAGATGCCGAGTCCCACAGAATTTCTCCACCTGGATAAGGTAGATGAACAACGTCCATGTGATCGACGAAACTCCACGCTCACCAAACCGGATCACTCTCAGCCCATGTGCGAGTACCTGCACACACCAAATTCAAGGCCATTCTCGCACCTAATCCAAACTGCTTCACATAATTGAGATTGTCCCAAGGCTGAGCTGAAACCCATCCACCCAGTGGCGCTGCTGTTGCACGTCCACTCGGCGAAGGCCGGATGGCCAGAATACGACGCAAAGTGTGAGAATACTTGGACAGCCGGAACAGGATAGAACCCATGTAGTTTGAGATAGCAGGCAACATGAGAGCACCTCCAACAAAACGACCTAACGACGCATTGGTGATTCGCATGGTGCGCTCGGCAGCTGCAGCGGGATCATCTGCTTCGAGGTCTGCGTCGTTCTGGTTTTCCTCCTCGTTCTGAACTCCCTCCCCGTTCTGGTTTTGTTCCTCGTTCCTTGCTTGGGCGCCTCGTCTACCTTGTTGAGCGCCAGCGGCAGGGCGCTGATCGTTCAGCGGTTCGATGTTCGCACCGATGCGCATCCGAAGAGGAGCTGGACCGTCCTCGTTGAATGCCCAGACGACACGACGAACAGGTAGACGAGGCCCTGGCTGAGTCCCCATGACCCAATGCTTCACGCGAGTGAAATATCGCCGATAAAGGCCAGTGACAAGGGGGTACAATATCGTAGCGATAATGGGAGATGGCGGCCATGTGAGCAGCGACATTGGCGCAATTGGTTCACTTCTCCGGGTGGTCCAACGACCAATCAAGCTCTGTGTTGTTTGCACAGGTGGGGACGATGGCCAAGCGAGAAAGAGAGTCATTATGGGGAGGGTATCAAACAGTCGAGTACGAGAGAGGACAAGACTGAAAGGTATTAGGGGAAGGTTGATAAATGCATGCCAAGGCCAGTTACTCGGATCATCTGTCAAGAGCAGGTCGTATCTGGAAACAGCCTTCAGAACAACGCAAGGATACAAATATTGTAGGGCGCTTACAATTCCTTTCCCAAAAACTCTCTCACTGCGTAAGCACCGTACGATGTACAGACAAAGTATATACCTAGCACAACACTGAGCGTGGGCACAAGCTAGGGTAAAAAGTAGTAACGCACCCATCCCGAACGAGACAACTATGCCAGTCATGCCAGCAAAGCTGATAACCTTGCCTGCCAGTGACAGGCTACCGCTGATGTGGTCTAGAAGCCTCAGGATGAATGGGTTATTGCTTTCCATATCGTAAGTCGCTCCGCATTGTGGGCATTTCAACGCATTAGCAGCTCGATGTGGGTCTTGTTGAGCAGCTTGTATCCAATGCAAAAGACATGACTCATGCGCCACAAGAGTACAATTGCATGGATGGGTCCAAACCCTACGTGGCTCCTCAGGATCTGAATTCAGTCAAATTCGACAGAGACTATGACGGATCAAGTATGGAACCGCACTGTCAAAGCGTTCCTCCTCTCGGCATATGTAGCATAACTTGACCTGAGATAAACCGGGAGCTCAGTGGACAAGACTCAGTTGTCATAGTCGAGACGTACCCGTAGGTCATCCACAGTTGGAATCTGGCGAGGTTCTGACATATGGCAAGCGCAATGACCCCCCCACTGGGTTCTGTTCTCAGAACTGGAGTCGTCGTCAATCTGTCAACCGGAACGAGAGTGTTGAGGGGCTGAACAATGAATGAGAGTAGCGGTGTGTAGACGGCAGGAGGCAAGCTGGTCCTCCAGAAGAGCGGCACGCACGTGACGTCACGGTACGTAAAGAAGCTCTAGCGCAGTTTTCATGTTGCAGTTTGTTCAGGCTCTCCGACGATAGACGAAAATGATTCATATTAACAGTCTCAGCCGTGGACTACATCAACAAGAAACGAATCACACGAAACAGCTCCAGAGTGTAGCGGAATGGAAAACTGAGGAAGAATTTTGCGGAACAGACCAGATCTAGTGATCGTAGGGCGGTGTTTGAGCCCTGTCCTCGTCCTTTTTGCCGTCATCTGGCGGAGGAGGCGTCTTCGCCTTATCAGTTCCCGCTCTCTTTTCAGGAGAAGGACTCCTCCGTCGTTCAGGGCTTCTACTCCGCTTCCTCTTGTCCCTGTCCCGGTCACTATCTCTGTCCTTGTCACGATCATCACGCTCTCGGCCACGATCCCTATCACGGTCACTGCGACGACGGGGACTGCGAGAGCGATCACGGTCGCGGCGAAGAGGCGGTGATCTTCGGTCATAGCGCCATACCGAAGAGGGAGGGTTCTTTGCCCACTGGCAAATTTCACGGTGAGTTAAGTCGTGTCTCGACCACCTCACGACAGGGAGCATACTCACTTGGATACTCAGGCGAGAGCCTTCGAAACTTCGTCCATGCCTAGGCGACCAGACGGGGGAAAACATGTCAGCAGTATGTTCACGGTGAGGGTAGAGAACCTACATGTCGTAATAGGCGTCCTCCGCATCGCGAGTACTGCGGAATTCGACGAAAGCATAACTGCGTACGATTCGAAGGGGAAGGCACGTTGAGCGAAGGAGGTTTTCGGGCGAAACTCGTACATCGAACGAATCGAAAGAAGTTGTGCTTCGTAAGAGCTCGGCGGTCCAACGCGAGAGCGGCGTGTGAGATTGGCTCGACGGCCGACATCCGGAGGGGAGGGACGGGGTGGTCTCGCGGAGAGAATGCAGCGCGTAACGGACGTTCGAGGCCACTCGACTGGAGCAAGAGGGTGAAGCATGCGAATGAACACACTCACGGATTAGTGTTGGCGTGTGGGTTTCGCGGTGCTGGAACGTCGCAGCGAACCAGAGGGCCGTACCTCGAAGGACGTCAGGGAGATGCAAGGGAGACGTGAGTCGGTGGAACTCACCGTTCGAACTCGTATGCAAGGTCGCGGGCGCGCGTTGTAGGATGGAAGCCACTGACGAAGAGAATGCGGGGCATGATGCTGGCTGTGCGGCTCGCTGTAGCGGACGGTGTCGGGAAACGACCGTCGGGGGACGCGAGAATATTATATTCGACTTTCCATTTTGGCTGCGTGCCTTGTTTGTGTTCGGTGGCCACGCTACTCTGTGGCGGCGAACGACTAGCTCCATCACACACTTCGTATGTCTGCCCCCCTTTGTCTGCGATATTTTGTTGTTCTGATTATGTACTCCATCAGGAAGTTTTTGGGCAGATTGTCAGCCCGGTTTCGTACGCACGTTTGCGGTCTGCGGCCCTCCTGGTGCGTCGTCATGCCGAGTGTGTTCTGTCCGTCTTTGTCGACGAATTGTCTGCAGATGCATGTGGTGTAAACCACTTTGCGCAGCCCACATAGCATCATCCTATTGCACCGCTTACCGGGGCTTTCATCAGCTACTCAGTGGTCGAAGCAAACATGCATCACTCTGTAAAAACGTGTATCGCATTGCCGAGGATTATAGCAAGCAGTCTGGCGACGAAACGTTCTCGTTCCTTAACATGCTTGCAAACTCTCCTACATCAGCTATGGTTGAAGGTGCTCCCACTCTACCTGGATTGACTCCCGTCCAGTTTCAGCGTTGGAAACCCGCCATATCGGCCTGCAACCTGGACTCTGCCCTCGGTTACCTTGGACGGGAAGGAGTCCGCTTATCATGGGCAGCTACACCTACAAACGATATGCCCCATTTATCTCCAGTTCCTCTCCAGCCTCCTACGTGGGTGATCCTGTATCTGATTTGCCACCAAGTAACATCTCCTGCGGACGCTAAGAAGGCCCTTGTTCTAGCATATTACCACCTTCCTACCGCACTTCCACATTTACGACCGTGTCTTCTCATATTCTCGGCCTGTTGGCTTGCCGAACACAATCTTGTCGTCCCTCTGCAGGACCTCATCCGAAGATTGTTGCAATCTTCTTGCGAATGGCGCGAGTATGACTATTCAGCATTCTTGAAACTTGTTGCCGCTGCCTCTGCCTCTCCGACCGGTATCCGTTTGATCATACCCGTTTTAGAGGCATCGTCAGCTCGTCGACTTCGTCTTGATCAAGACACATTTGATTCGCTCCTTTCCGGACAATTTGCCACCGCTGAACTTGGGATTGCTCTGGCTAGGTCCATGCAGTCGCAGGCCACCATTCCCAGTGTCAAGAACTTGGAACGACTAGTCAAGCTCTTCGCTAAAGCGGGTTGGAGGAAGCGAGCTGGCCGGTGTCTCGATCTCGTCCGCCACCATTATGCGGAACAACAAACCGAGACTGTGCCCTTTGGCACCAACCCGTATGCCAGGAACGTTATGCAGGCACCGACGTTGTCACAGCATTGGTATATGTCTGCTTTTGGCTCGGTGCGTTCACTTCACGCCTATATGCAAGCGTGCGGCGTGCATTCCCGTCTGTGGAGGGCGGAGCCCAGGATTGGCACATGGCGAAGTGTTTTGCGTGCTGCCGTACGGGACCGATCATTGTCTGCAAAGTCCTTGCTCGCGATCCTCGAGCGCGCGAAGGCGTCAGACTCTAGCTTACGCTTAGACGTGGTCTCAGATCTGGTTACTATCAATGGTCTCCTCCACCGCAGGGATAACACAAACGCGGCTCGTATATGGGATACCATTGCTGCGAAGAAGGACCGCTTAGAAGTGTGGGGGTTAGCCCTTGGAGTGAAGGCGCTGACTCTGGCTGGCCGCCCTTCAGAGGCTTTTGCGCTCCTTCGAGGCATTGACACCTCTCGGTATTCGGCCACTTCCACTCAATTACTCTCCCGCTCCGAAGCGCGGCAGCAGATCACCACGCACACGATCAATATATTCATGGCCTCATTGCAACGCATAGGACGCCCTGACATCGTCTTCGAACTGTGGGACTATATGGAATCGCTTTTTGGCATCAGTCCTGACCAGTTTACGATGGCTATTGTCCTGAAAACTGCCCGCTTTGCCAGTAAATCAGACCAGTCGGTACGAGGCGCGTTAGCAGATATCGGGCTCGGAAATTTTTTCCGCCGAAAGAGCGTCGGCGACGCCCCTGTCTCATACCCCGAATCATCTCGCAGCATGGCCGTCGCCAGGATTCAAGAGTTGTTAGCTCAAAACAGAAATGATACCAACTCCGGTGTATGGAGAGGGGAGAGGGCTGGTGTTCAAGCGCTTCAGGTTGCCCACCATATTTTGCTAGGAAATTGGCCCGAGCTGCACACTATTCAATCTCCCGTCCACGCTGTTCGTCGTTCACTCGGCTTTTCGCCTGTCGGCGGCCTCTTTCGCGCCCTGAGTGGTCGCCCATCGACACCCTCTCAAGATGACTCCCGTGCGGCGCAGCAGGCACCGAACTACGACATCGACTCACTCTGGCCATACCCGCAGGTACTACCCAACGACGTCGCCTTCCGCGCATATATAGATCTACTCGGCGCAGAGAACCAGATGTCCGAGATCCCCCTTGCGCTTGCGTGGATGCGCCACCTAGATGTCAAGCCGTCGCGCAACACTTTGGCGACTGCGCTTGTGTATTGGGCCGAGGTCAGCATGGATTCTCCACTGGTCGAGCATTGGAAGAGCGAAAGGAGCGAATACCTGCGGTTGATCCGTTGGATGAAGGAATGGGTTGGCAGCGAGAATCTGCCTACAGATGCAGACATAGGATTGCATCTGGGACGCATAAAGTGGTTCAGGGATCTGCGTTATGGCCGGAGACCTGTACATTCCTAGGTTTAATGGAGTCCATATTCTCAAACCCATATCGACGGTGTGTGTAACATACCTCTCTTGCAACGAGCACCGGACATCTCGTTGACACTTGTCTAACAAACATATATTCTAACATCAACCATACATCTGTGACCATTGGAGGAAGTAATGTACACTTGAAGCCTGCTGCAACATCCGGTCGATAGGCTTATTGTTGTACATGAATTGAATACTCCGCACAAATGCTTCGCGAGGGCCTCTCATATACGCTTTCCCCTAGCCACTGCTTCTTTCTTCTTGGCCTCGACTTCGGCGGATTTAGCTGAGGGCCACGTCAACATCAAAGGTAGATTGCTGGACCGATGCCAGACACACCTTCAGCCTCCGCCTTCCTCTTCGCCTGAGCAGCTTGGCGCTCGGCACGAATCTTGGCTAGGCGTGCCAGATCAGATTTGGCTTGTTCTGTCTTGCCTTGCTCATGAAGCTGGTAGCACAAATTGTTCAGACGGTAGATTTGCTAGCTGTTGCGCAAGACACGCTTACCTTCCAATATCTCTCCTTGGCTTCCTTCTTCTCCTTCTCCTCCCTGTACGATGTATTAGCTGAACTGTTCTCAAACCCAACACAGAAATTCACCTCTCTCGCCGAGTGGGCTCCCGCGGTGCACCCAAGTCCGCGATGTTCATCTTCTTGCCCGCAGCGATGTTCGGGTTCACGAACAGAGGGTCCTGGTCTTCTGCGTCCTCATCTTCGTCTGATGTCTGCTGTTTTGCCTGTGCTTTCTTCTTCTTCAGCTCTCGTCGCTCTGCTCGAGACAATTCGGGTTGTGCAGTGCTTCCCGCAGCCTTGCCGTCGTCTGATTCGTCTGATTCGTCTTCCTCCTCCTCGTCTTCTTCTTCGTCGTCGTCATCGTCACTGTCGTTCTCCTGATTTCTTCGTCCGCGAGGAGCCCTGGGTGGACGGGCAGGAGTCAATTTCACCATCGTTTAGTTCCGCGACATGAGAACACACCACTTGTCGGTAGAGACGGCTGTTCCATTCTCGTCGAGCTCGAGATGCTTGCTGTGCAATTCGAGCGATGAACGATCAGCATGACCCCAAGCGATCTAATAACATGGCGATCGCATACCTGAAGCTGGAAGGCAGAAGCGGTTAGCACAGAACGGACGAGTCTAAACCGCGAGGACATACTTTCGTCCTCCACCGCGCTTCTGCTTGAAAGTGCCTCTGGCCATGGTGATGTGCAGTTATGAAGTGTAAGTAAGCAGAAAGTTTGGATCCAAAAGAATCAAAGGATCGGATGAGGTCACGTGGAGGGCGCAGCGTAAGTATTCGGACCGTCTGCTGAGCGTCGTCTCTCCAACTGAACTATGTCGACAATCCCGTCGCGCCTGGCTCGCTCGGCCCATGTATCGAGGAGCCCTGCGGAGGCCCGCGATCGCGTGCTGAAGCTCTACCGAGACTGGTACCGCGGAGTGAGTCCGTCGGTGCTCCGTCAACGACATTCTGACTGTAGCATGTCTTACAGGCACCAGAGATCGTCTCCCTGTACGCGCTCAACGTCTCGCCAGCGTACTTTCGCGCATGCATCCGCAGGAAGTTCGAGGATAACCGTTACATCACAGACACGCGCGTCATCGACGTGCTCGTGCTCAAGGGGCGGCAGGAGTACCAGGAGACGATGAACTGTTGGAAGCTGAATGACCACATTATGGGTATTTTGCTGCAGCCCAAGGGACGGCCGCCACGCACGTTCCTCCAGAAATTCTATGAAGGTGTGTCCTTTCCTTCGTGGCCGAATTCCGCTCACTGTCTCTGGTGTGATTCCAGGCAGGGACGAGGATGCCGTGCTTCCAGCTGCATCCGGGGTATACTAGGTGGTTAGGTAGCGAAGGAGAACAAACTCATACTGTTTCCTGCCACCACGAGTGTTCTACTGAGGTGCTTAGACGTCGCTGGTGCGTCTCCAAATGTGACTCAGAACATGGCTCTACTAGACAAATAAACATCCTCGTGATCCCAGCGCACAGTAAGATCTCTACGACAGAAAATCAATAGGGTCATCATCGCTATCAGCGATATGCGCAGGCGGAGGAAACAACGATAGTCTGGGCTGTAAAGCAACAAGTGACGTGAGCAGAGTACACCGGTATCATGGCCGGTGCTACTAACCTTGGGTTTTGGTTTCAATCTGCGAGGAAGACTCTTGTGAGCGCTAGGAGCTGCAGCTCTGCAGTTCTCTTTATCGTACCTAGATTGATAGAACATAGCTGAGCATGAGTCGATATCTGAGACATATTATGACCCACCGTTTTGGCTTCGCCGTGGCTTTCTGCTTGGCTAGTTGCGCCTTTGGAGAAGAGGTGCCCACACGCACTGTTCTTGTTAGTGGTAACTTTGCTTTCCAAGAAGCGTCGGAGGTGGACTTCGATACATTCGCTCGCTTAGCAGGTCGGGTCCGTTCGCATTCAACCTGGTCTCCCTGTTCCTCTGAAATATTCCAATCGTCCCGCGAGCGTTTCTTAAGCGCTGTATGGCCATTGTGCGAGGGCCCTGCCATCCGCGTTCCAGCTGCATTCACAAGTTGGTCGCGAGATCCCAAACCAGACGCTATCTGTTCAGAGTTGTCGTCCTGTGAGCGGACCTTCTTCGGCTCGGATACCGTGGTGGGGTGGAACGAGTTATCGCTGTCTCCCTTCGTTTGCTTGCGCGGCTGCAAAGTCGTGTGCTCGCTCGCCGCCTTCGTGTGCTTGGCTCTTCGCTTAAGAAGAGCAGCTAGAGGGACGTCGTCGTCACTAGATTCGGCAGGCTCGTTGCCTGTGGGATGAGAGGCCTTACTGCTCGATGGAGCCCTCGAACGGCTTTTCTGCACGCCTTCCGTCTGAGCAGCAGTAGGAGCCTCCGTGTGTGTTGTGTCTGCGGAGCATTGGAGTGCTGTCTTGCGGGTCCTCGACGCGGTTGAGGACTTCGTGGGTCTCAACTCTGATAGCTTCTCCTTCAACGGATGAGTTATCACATCAGCGTCATCACAATCAACAGTTCTTCTGGTAGATCTTTTGCCGTCTTTCGTGGAGTCCTTCACAGACTTCGCCCGCGTTCGAGAAGGCTTGCACGCAACGCCATCCTGCTGCACAAGTGCAGGTTCATCTGAGACTTCTGCCGTGGCTGATGCATGTATTCAGTCCAAATGTTCGTGCTCCAGAATACTTTGCTCTTACCAGTCTCAAGCACCTCAGCAGGAGCCTTGGCCTTCCCTTTGTGCTTCGCTGTCCACTTCTTCGCAGCACTCTCACCATCCTCTTCCATTTCGTCTTCCTCAACCTTCTTCTTCCGCGAAGGCTTCGCCTTGGGTGCCGCCTTTGCACGCCTTCGTGCCAGAGGCTCGTCATCGGAGGTAACTGCAGCATCCTCATCGGGGATCGGTGAGGGTCGTTTTGTCCTTATCTTCGTCAGAACATCTGCGGTGTCATCTGAAAATAACTTGAGTCAACAAGGCGATGCGGGGTGAGGAGAAAGCAGATCGTACTGTAGGCAGTGGCGGCAGTTCCACGAGTCGTTCTGGTGGTCGTCGATTTGATCGTACGGCGAGTGGAACGGGGCTTTGCCTCATACTCTGCTGCATAACCGGCGTAAATCAATGGACACAGATCAGTCAGTGGCTTGGTGCAAAAATGTACATACCGAGGTCCTTATCTTTCTCATCCTGCTGCGTGACCTTCCTGGCGCGTTTCTTGGGCGGATGCGCCAGAGGTTCAACCGCGCGCGACGATCCTACACCGCACAGCGAAATCAGCGTCGGGCCACTGCTAGCAGCGTTACATGGCGCACCTTCACCGCTCGTATCATTCACCTCTCTTGCGTCCACCCCTTTCGCGTGGGCTTCCGGCGGGGCGCGAACTGCCGCCTTGGGCTTTGCCTTCGCCCGGGTCTTCGTGGGCGCTTTTGCCCTTGCCCTTGCCGTGCGCTTCGCAGTCACACGCTTGGGAGTGGTAGCGACCTCGACCTCGTCATCCGTGCCCTCACTATCCCTCACAGCGTGCGACTTTCTCCTCGCAGCCTTGCTCGCATTGCCAGCCAGGGGCAGAGGGTCGTGCTGCTCCACTGGGATTGTCTGCGAAAGCGCCTTGGCGGGGCTCTCACCGTTCACGCCGCGTGCGAGGAGGATGTCGAGCAACGCATTGTGTGTCGAAGGCACGAAGATCCTGCAAGGTGTCAGAACGTACAGCCACCTTGCCGGAAGAGTGAGACAGCGGGGGGAGCTCACCCTCCTCTGTCCCTGAAGCGCGACTGCTGTCGCTCGAGACGCTTTGCGCGGCTGGCCTCGACGGTGAGGCCCTGTTCTGTGGTCGTCGTCGTCTGGCTCATGTTGCAGCTGGTCAGCGAGCGCGAACGATCACGCTCGTCGCTGTCACGCCTCAGTCACGTGCATACTCACTTACACCGCGGAGCGCCGAATTGCCTTTTATGGCAGTCATCTTGGTCGTCGCCATCGCCGGTCTGCTCATCGTGCTCATCGCCTCTCTACTACCCACTCGCCATGAGCGTCACAAACAGCCCACTGGTGCACACATCCTCCACAACCAGGTCACTCACGCACGGCTTCTACCGACGCGGTCCGCCCACGCCTTCACCTACCCGACGCTCTTCCTCCTCCTCCCGCTTCGTGCGCTCGAGGCGCACGCGCTGGACCTTGGGTGTGGATGGGTGTTCGGATACGGTGGAGTGTCGTGGCGGCTCACAGGCCTCCGCCCCCAGGGGTACCTGATGCCCGACGCGCGGAGCGTGCATGCGAAGCTGGTGGAGTTGTTGGAACAGCACGGACATGATGCAAGGCTCTTTCGCGATGCGTGGATGATGACGATGCCCAGCTACTGCGGGCTCGAGGGCATCAATCCGCTCACAGTGTACTTTTGCTACGGGGATGGTGCAGCGCTGTGGATGGTGGTGCTCGAGGTGCGTACACCCTGAGCGCTGTTGCAGCTGGTCTGATGACTGTGCGCTTTCCAGATACACAACACGTTCTACGAACGGCATATCCACTTCCTCGAGGTCGGCGTGAACGAAGACCCGCCGCCAAAGGGGTACGTACGTCTCAACATTTCGTATCTCGCTGCCCACTGACCGCCCCCCAGGTTCGACCACCAATGGACGTTCCCCCGCCAATTCCACGTCTCGCCCTTCAACGACCGCTCAGGGTTCTACACCGTCGCTCTCACCACCCCCTCGCACGCCCCAATTCCCGTCTCAGCTGCCGGCCTTTCACAGCCCGCGCCCCGCCCGGTGATCCGCATCCACCTGCACGTCCCAGACCCTCTGTGCCCTTCTACCCCAGGTCCTCTGAAATTAACCGCCCTCCTTCGCCCCTCGGTCTCCGAGCCCCTCACCACCACGTCCCTCCTCCGTGCGCTCGCACACCAGCCGCTTGTACTCCTCCTCTCGTTCGCCCGGATCGTCTTCCAGGCGGGAGTATTGCACTACCGTCGGCGGCTGCGCGTGAACGTGCGGCCAGACCCGGTGCCCGCCCAGCGCGGGTGGGGTATAAGGGAGGGTGACGACGCGGAGCAGCCGCTGAGTGGGGGAGTGAAGTGGCAGTCAGAAGGGGTACTGGAACGATATGCACGCGGGCGCGTCGAGGCGTTCCTAAGGGGGAGAGCGAGGGAGACTGGGGTCAGCGTGACGCTGGTGTCGGCGAACCCGTTCCTGCCGCCGAGCGTGTTTCTACCGTCGAGGAAGGAGGATTCGACCGCCGAGAAGATAGGGCAGAGCCTGACCGTGTGGTACCGATCGCCGCAGTTTTTCACGACTGTGTTCGTGGCACCGTCTGCAGCGCATGCGATTCAATTGGGCACCACCGAAGGACTCTTCACCTTCTCGTCCAGGGAGCTCTTCACGTTAGTGTTCTCGCCGCCATACGCGCAGACTTCACAGACGCTGTGCCAACGTCTGCGGGCACAGGCAGTCCCTCAAGTCTCTAGATACGCTATCCCCCAAACTCATCCTCTCGATATGGCAGAGTCAGCGGTGATCGACTCGGCGATGCTGGCGGTGATGCTGACATCAGGTAAGGTGGAAGAATGGGCTTATCGGATGATAGGCACTCGATTTGTGCGAGGCCAGGAGCCGTGGAAAAGATGGCAGCGGGCACTGGAACGAAAGGAAGCTGCCTCGAAGAGTGCTAATTAAAGCACGAACGCATATTTGTTTCTTGGCCAGTCCGTGTAGCTATAGGTATGACTGTATTTCTTGGATCTTGACGCTACTCGTGCTTTCAGTCGCGTATGCGTCCGTCGTCTGCCCTGGAGTCAGAATGTAATTGTTTCTTCGATTCTGTTGGGCACCAGTATGCATGCTTTCGTTGCTATTCTCCCCTTTCCAGCCGCGGAGTCGAACGTTTATGATCGGACAAGATCTGCCGATGACTAGTGTGTGGGTCCAAGTATGAGCACCAATTGCAGCTTCCAGTACTATGTGAAGAATCGACAACACTACTGAAGCCGCCGGATCTTATGAATGAACTACTAATAATATCGTACGTCTATATACACATCTTTGAGTCGTTCGAAGACAGTGAGTCGAGGATGGCCCGCTCGTCGACGCCATAAAGACCTGTTACACTCCAATAAAAATACATCAGGACCTACAGGGCCGACCAATCGCCAAGAGAGACATACAGCAAATCGAAATAAAAAAAGAAGCACGATCAAGAGACCCCAGCCTTGCGCCACTGGTCACGTATTAGGAGGCAAGAACCCCGCGCCGCCGTTCTGCCAGTTCTCCATGCCCGCGAGGCGCACCCACTCGACGTCGAACTCGCCGCTCCCCTGCAGCATCTCGAACGGCATCATCATGGTCTGCGCACTCGCCTTGGGCCCCGGCCCGAGGCCAAGACCCGCACCACTTCCGGTGCCGAATAGCGGGGGGCTGTACGTCTCCGCGTACGGCGAGGGCAGCCCCATCGATGGCTGCACTTGCATGTGTGTGGGCACCTGCATAACGGGGTGGGGCGCGAACCCATGCATCGGTGTGGTCAGGTACGGGATGGAGGTCGGCTGCGGCTGCGGCTGCGGGGGTCCCGCGGGGAGGTTGGGTGGGAAGGACGACGTCGGCGAGTGGTAGTAGCTCGAGCTGAGCGAATGCACGGAGGACGGGTCCGAGCTACTCGACTCCGCAACGCTCTCCCCGCCGGGACTGTGCTGGTGGCTATGTTCCGGTGAGCCGTAATCCCCACCGCTCTCGCCCGAACAAGGATGTTGCTCCGCGCGGCCCCATCCACCGGCCTTGCGTAGCGCCTCGAGTACGGTGATGGCACGCTTGGCAATCTCGCCCTCGCCGTCATACATTCCCTCGGCGGCGGCAACACACGCCTCGAGCATCCGCAAGGCGCGGTCCATGAGATCAAGACATTCCTCCGCGCGCGGGTGCGGCGGCGTCTGCGAGAGCGCCCCCGCGAGCGCGACAGCGCCGTCGAACACAAAGTACGAATATTGGAAGATCATCGCGGGCGCGGAGGACGCCCACTCGGGGGTCGCGGCATGTGCGGCACAGAGCGTGTGAACGAGCTCCTGCGCGAGTTCTATGCACCGCTCCCGGCTGGGGTTGAGCTGCATGCTGCTGCGCGCGAGGCCGGCGGGCGGAGGGAGAATCGGCGGCGGGTGCATCAAGTACGGGCGGTGGATGTTCATGAGTCCGCCGAGGTAGTATGCAGCGAGCGTGTGCCGCTGGTAGTTGAGGCTGCGTTCGGCGATCGAGAGGCACCGAGGCGAACGCACAGGCTCGTGCTCGAACGGACTGGGCGAATTTTGCTTCAAGTTGTGCCATTGCAGTTCTGCAGGCAGCTGAGCGAGCCACGTCCGGAAGCGGTGATCGAACTCCAGGACCGTAGCGTATGAGGGTGCTTGGATGCCGAGGCACTAGGAAGACGCAGGCTGAATGTCGATTCGCACTAGGTAACGGAAACCGAGACAAACCTTGTCAGCGCCCTCGCCTATAATCTCGCACAGCTGGATGAACGCCTGCAGATAAGGCGCATTCGGATTTGGGAATCCGTCGCTGTGCACCGGACCTGGGAGGAGCGTCACGTCGAAGCTCCCCTTGTGGGCCATCATTGGTCTCCCGAGAATGAACGAGTATATACTGCGCGGGGTAAGAGTGAGTATCGCCTTGGGTATTTGGCCGCTGAACTCACCGATCAGAGATCCAGAGGCTCCACCAGCCGAGCAGCCGCAGCTCGGATTCCTCCTTGCCCATGGTCTCCCACTTCCGCCACCCGGGGTCGCGGTGGAGACCCATTGCCTGCGCGCTCCGCATGCCGATCCCCGCCAACTTCCACGCCTCGCTCACGCGGCCGCGGTCAGCGTGATAGGCGGCGAGGAGCGCGGTGCCGATGCAAGTGAACACGGCGCCGTGCACGCTGCTCTCCGACATGGAATACGCAGGCACGGCGAGCAGGATGTCCTCGACCAGCCGGCGGGCGGCGAGCGCGCTGCTGCAGAAACTCGCGCCGTCGTTTGCCCGGTTCCGTGGGGAGAGGGCGAGGACGGCGAATAAGAGCACCAGCCAGTGGGGGTTAATCTCCTCTGCGCATGCCATGCACGCGCCGGGTGCGAGGCAGTGGGGGCCGGGGCAGCGCACCTCGAGGTGGCGCCACATCTTGTGGCAGGCGCCGCGGAACCAGTTCTCAGGTAGGCCGAACTCCCAGTTGCGGCCCTCGAAGTAGGCGTCGAGCAGCTCGTCGACGTGCCCGCGAGGGGGAAGACCGGAGAGCAGGCCGCGCATGGGCGCGGAGAATGGATGCACGCCGCATGAGTGAGACAAGGATACGGGGCTGGTCATGGAGGTCGATCGGGAGTAGGGGAAGCGCCATGTCTCGGGTTCTCCGAGCTGGAGGCTCGTTAGCTGCACAGGTGGAAGGAAGGGGGAGAGCGGCGTACCTTGTGGAGAGCACATAGAATGGTGCCGGCGCCGATGTACTCTTCGCGTGGGGCAAGCGAAAGCTGTGCGAGGGCTACGGCGGCTACCTGCACGTTGAAGTCGTAGAGGGCTCGGGGCCCCTCGGAGTCTGCATTCTCACCGGCAGCGCCGGTGCCTGTGGGGATGGGGACCTCGGGCTTGTCGAGGGAAGAAGGTTGCTGATCGAGGGTAGAGTTGCTCGGGGAGTTGCAATCGTAGCCGGTTGAGAGCTGGATGTTCTGGCGGAGTAGGGTTTGCTCGAGGACGGCGATGCGGGTGGAGAGGGCTTGGATGGTGTCCGAGGCAGCGGAAGAGGGCATGACGGGAGGACGCTGGGGCGTTGGGCGGACGACGATGGGCTCCCAGCGACAGAGGTGTGCGATGCCGCGGGTGGTGCAGAGTCCGCAGGGAATCTGTCTGTCGCATTTCTGAGGGTGTTGAGCACGGATGCAACGGCGAGCAGCGAGACATACCTGGCGCCGTTTCGTGCACTCTACGCAGCTGAGACGCTGCCTGCGCCTGGTCTGCTTGACCTTACCACCGTCGCTTGAAGCCTGCACTTGCGGCATGGACGGAGAGACGCGCGACGCGGTGATGGGAGTGCTCCTGACAGTTCTACAATCTTCTCAGCGCCGACTGTCCCTCCCTGCAGCTCGCTCGCTCCCACCCGGTATGTGCTATCTCCGCACGGTGCCGCCGGAGTCAGCCGTGACGTCACTTGGCACGCAAAATCTTGAAAATATTGTCGGCATCCTACCACTCTGGTCGTTCGAGACACACGTGGAATACTTATACTCTGCAGCTCATCGCGCAAAGAGTGTTGACGGCTGGGAGGAGAAACAATACTCGTATACCGCATTAGGTGCGCTGCCTGCCCCATTAGGCAATTCTTCCGGTGACTCCGGTCCCCAAGAAAGGGGCGCTAGTGACTGGAATCCTAGACACCGTCCTACTGATGTCTTCATAGCTCAATCTCTCTCGCTGCGATAACCGTTGCGCATTCATATTTCTTCGTTATGACATTATAGATACATCGTCTAAATCAGATTTCACACCGGAGCCCTTCTGGAAGCTTGGTGAATCTAGGAGCAGCTGAATTGTGGCAAATTTTATACTGTAACTCTTTCGCCTTTGTGATGCGGCCATGGCATCTCATACATTGCGAATTTCGATAAAATAGCACCCTCACTGTGTCCGCAGATGGCAAAAACGAGATATATGGTCGAGCTCCGAAGTCCGGTTGCGGCAGTAGTATTGACCGAGCTAATTGACCTCACAAAGTCGTTGGCTGTGTTAGAAATCGCGCCTTAGTTCCCAAATAGGAAGGTAGTGATGGCGGGTCAAGATGCGTCGGGGCGCGTGATTACGCGTCCTAAAATAGATTTCTGTATATATACAGTTCTAGACGCTCCACTTTATATAAGCAAATTTCCTTCTTTGTCTTTCTTTGTAATCATGCCCTCGGCTTGTCTGCCCTTGGGCGCTCCCCAATTTCTGGAGCTCCAGAAATTTGGGCGCTACTTTTCAACACTCCCCCTCAAGCCGATGGGCATTCCGAGCTTCTTTGTGAGCTTCTCGTGCCTCGGCTTAGGGAGTGACTTTGTTAGGATATCCGCTATCATGTCCTCCGTGGGACAGTAGTGGATATCAATATATTTATCCCTCAATTTTTCGCACACATAATGATGCTTTACATCAAAATGTTTTGATTTCGCGTGGAATTGGGGATCACGTGCAATTGAGATTGCCGCTGTATTATCCTCGAATAAAATTGTAGGATCTTGTTGCTCGAAACCTATTTCTTTGAATAGTGTTTGGAGCCACATGGCTTCTTTTGCCGCTTCGGCGGATGCCATGTATTCGGCTTCTGTGGTGGATGATGCGACCGTGGTTTGCTTCTTTGAGCTCCACGTGATCGTGCCATTTTCTAATTTAAATAAATATCCCGAGATTGATTTGCGATCTCGGATATCGTTCGCATAGTCTGCATCTGAGTAGCCCACAAATATGGATTGATCTTTGGGCTTGACATCTGCAATTGGCCCGTAGATTATTCCAAGTTCTCGCATTCCGGATAGATAGCGAAGGACGCGTTTAGCAGCAGTCCAATGAGTCATTCCGGGATTGGCAGTAAATGAGCTAAGCCATTGCACAGCATGAGCAATGTCTGGTCTCGTGGCAATTGCCGTGTACATCAGTGATCCGACGAGCGATGCATATCTGTTGTCTCGGTCGCATTCATCATCAGTTTCGGGTTCTTCTTTTTCAAGCACTGTATTTGGATCAAGAGGCATCCCGACCGTGTTGGCGTTCGTAAGCCCATTCTTGTGTAGGATAGACTCAATATATTTTGTCTGAGAGATTTTGATTGTCCGCTTTGAACGGTCTCTCTCAATTTCTATCCCCACAATTTTTTGGGGTTCGCCAAGGTCGGTAACTTCGAACATATTTTGGAGTTCCCTCTTCAATTGGTCCATCAGTGCGCAATCATTGGTGAATATTAATAGGTCGTCTACCCAAACGGTGACGATTTCTATCTTATCACCTTTGATCCGAATGTACGCACATGGATCCGAGAATAGGCGCTTGAATCCCACGTCTAGTAACTTGCAGTTCAGCACGATATTCCATTCTCGGCCAGGGTTTTCTTTAATTTACATACACGGTATGTTCCATTGCTGTATCCTTCGGGTTGCCACATATACACTTCTTCTTTGAGAGTTCCATTAAGATAGGCACCTTTCACGTCCATCTGTCCGATCTCCCAATCTAAGATTGCAGCTAGCCCGAGGATAGCTCGAATGGTTTCGAGGCGAACTACGGGCGCGAACGTCTCAGTATAGTCTATGCCTGGGATTTGAGAATATCCCTTTGCAACCAGGCGGGCTTTGTATTTGATTATTTCACCCTCTTTGTTTGTTTTCTTAACTAGAACCCATTTATTTCCTACGGGTTTTCGATCTTCGGGAGGTTCCACTAACTCCCAAGTCTCCATACCCTGTAGTTGATTGAGTTCCGTCTGGACTGCCTGTTCCCATTTGGGCCACTCGAGTGATCTCTTGGCATCACTGAGCGTCTTTGGCTCGTCCGCATCCGCATTTTCGTGGGTGCTCATCGCAATATAGACTAATTCGGCATTTGATTTATCTGGATCATTATCCAGATCTTCGTCTGCCTCTGGGTTGTGCATTAGACGGTAATCATGCCAAACTGTCTTTCTTCTGGTTCGTCTGGGCTGACTTGGTGCGTCCATCCCGCTTTCCTCGCGTTGATCAGGATCATTATCCTGTCTGCGCTTTCGCGGATTTTTGGCAGGTGACTGTGGCGCGGAAGTTCCTAACTCCCCCTCACGCTGCACATCTGTGGTCGTTGTGAGGTTTGGGACTTTGGGTCTCCTTTCCGCATGCGGCACATCTGACGCATTGCTCGGTAAAGTGCCCGGAAATATATTTTGCTCCCTCTCACGCTGTGCTGTGAGGATAGGTACGTCGGATCCTATTTGCTCTTGTGGCACGTGAGGCACGTTGCCGGGCAAATGGTCCGGGGAATTCGAAGAAAATTGGAAATTATGCGAGATTTTAATCTGGCGCGTGTGCGCATCATAATATTTGATGGCTTTGGGTCCATCCATGTATCCAACAAAAATATACTTGTTGGCACAGGGCGCTAGCTTTGATAGTGTTGCATCTTCCGTGAGGACCCATATGAGGGAACCAAATTCTTGTAGGTATGAGATATTTGGTTTCATCCCATTCCATTTTTCTTCGGGAGTTGCCCCATTTAACGCCTGGGTAGGCGATCTATTTTTAATATAGACTGCGTGAGCAATCGCTTCAGCCCAAAGATAACAAGGTAGATCTCTCACATAGATCATCGCACACGCTAGTCCAAGCAGTGTGCGATTCAATCTCTCAGAGACTCCGTTCTGGGATGGTGAGTACAGCGCAGTCGGACCCATCTCAATCCCTTTCATTTGACACCAGTTAATTAATTCGGTGTTCATATATTCTCGACCGTTGTCGAGCCTGAGTCGCAAGGGTTTATTTCCAAACTTGCGCTCAATATAGGTAATATAATTCTTTACCTTTTCTGTTACTTCATCTTTATGCCTCATAAATAGTACTGTACTTCGACGACTGTAATCATCGGTAAATGTAATAAAATATTTCCACCCTTGTAGAGCGGCTGTCTGCGCAGGTCCCCACACATCTGTGTGTGTTAATTCTTCGGGTACCTTGCTGCATTCGTCCGTCTCTTTGGGAAATGGCTTCCACGTCGCCTTTGCTTGGATGCACGCCTCACAATTAATTTCATCTGGGCTTGGCGAGATTTCTAGGCCATCAACAAGCCCTTCGCGATATAATCGCATAAGCGCTGGTTTCCCGATATGGCCATAGATCTTGTGCCACTCTTTCCAGGTATGCGGGCCATATTCCTTAGCAGTATAGGTTCGCGCAGGTTGCGGAACTATTGGACGCAATTTCAATGAATATAGTCGTCCATTTTTCTTGCCTATAGCAAGAGTGTGTTTATTTTTATCTATTAGTATTGCGCGACTATTACCCATAAGTACTCTTCCTCCCGCATCGTCCAAATGCGTGATGGAGAGGAGGCTATTGGGTGCTGTCAGCGCATACAGTACACCGTGGAGACGGAATTTCACTTTCCGGTCTCCTACTTCACTTTTGACATCGACCGTACTGCGGCCCAATGCCTGCATTGGTTGTGGTCCGATGCCCGTGATCGCGTGATCTTCGAGCGCCTGATAGGTCGTGAAGACTTCACGACGATTTGTAATGTGCGAAGTTGTCCCGGAGTCGGCAAACCACTCATAGAAAGAAGCGATTTTGCCATCAGATCCGAGAGATACAGTGTCGCTATCATTATCGTAGGCTATTTTTGCCTCATCCTCTTTCGATTCGACCTCGTGCGCTTCGTAAGCACATTCCGTCTTTTGCTGTTTCATCGGCGGGCCCTGTCCGGCTTTGCCGCCGCCTTTAGCCCAACAATCCGTGGCCTTATGCCCGAATTTTCCGCAATTCATACATTTGACCTTGTCGCGGTGCCGACACTCATTACCAAGATGTCTCGGCTTTCCGCAGATCGAACATTTTTTGTATTCCCCAAAGGGGCGCTTCTTTCCTTTGGCAACCATGGCTTGGTCCGAGGATTGACCGCGCTCGCCACGCTCGTGCCTTCGCCTATTTTCATCAAGAATGATGGCAATCAATTCTTGTGATGTAAGCTGAGGGTGCACGTTGTCAGCACCTTCGGCACCAAAGTAAGAGCTGAGGAAAGAGTCCCAGCTCTCCAGTAATGAGGTAGCCAGAATGAGCCGGAAATCCTCATCAGAAACAACCTTCCTCATTAGGTGGAGTTGTTCCTGGATCTGTCGTAGCTGTGTAATGTGACTGGAGATATTATCTTCTTCCTTGGCTTGCATCCGGTAAAAACGCCAGCACAGCGCGAGAATTCCATGCTGTCCACGCTGTTCCTTGACTGTGCGAAGCTGCTCCCACATGGCCCATGCCGTCTTGGCTCCAGCGATGTGCACCATCTGGGAATCTCCCAGCGATAGCACAATTACGTTCTGGGCCTTGAGGTCCTTCTCTCCCCAGGCGCTAATCTCCGCCTCTCTCGCTGCCCTATTGGCCGGGTCATTACTCGGCTGCGGCTTCAGTGTCTTTCCGGTCACATACTCCTGGAGACCCTTATCATTAAGGATGGCCTCGACGCGGCGCTTCCATGGGAGCCAATTGTCTTCCTTCAGGAGCGGGATCCGGTAAGCATTGCTATTGCTCATATTATCAGCGCTGGTCGACATTATTTGTTCTCGTACTAGTAAGGGGGTAACAATTTTTGTAGCCACAATAGGGGCTGTTGTTATCCAAGTATTTATTGGCTAGATCCGGGGCTCATAATCTGTTAGAAATTGCGCCTTAGTTCCCAAATAGGAAGGTAGTGATGGCGGGTCAAGATGCGTCGGGGCGCGTGATTATGCGTCCTAAAATAGATTTCTGTATATATACAGTTCTAGACGCTCCACTTTATATAAGCAAATTTCCTTCTTTGTCTTTCTTTGTAATCATGCCCTTGGCTTGTCTGCCCTTGGGCGCTCCCCAATTTCTGGAGCTCCAGAAATTTGGGCGCTACTTTTCAACATTAAGAATATGGAGAGTGCATGCAGGCAAGGTCTCTCGATCTCTCGTCAACTGCCATGAGAAGCTGAGGAGTGAGTCTGCCCTGCCTTCCTGCACAAACGATGATGCCAACATGGCCGCCCCAGGAGGGCATCCGGCCGGAGTCCGAAACTTCCTCCGGAGAGGGAAACCCCACAAGTTTCCAAATGGAGGGGTTTCTCCGAGCAGCCTCAGAAACCCGGGGTTTCTTGGGGTTTCCAGGTTTCTGAGGGTTTCCCAATAGAATTATCCAAAAAATGGCCTATGCCGTGTCTAATCCGGACAATTTGGCAAGACCTCGCAGGCTGCAGGCCTAGCGTGAGTTTCTAACCCTAAAAAGGTAATTTAGGGCACTTCTGATATGGCGGCTACACCGCCTCCTCCTCCGGCCCTGGCCTTCCACAACAAGTGTTTGTCCGGCCCCGAATCAGGCCTCCTGGGCGCTGCCTCCCCGATGTCGACGAAATGGCTCCCTGAGGCTATCCGGCGGTCAACCCCCTGATTTGTCCGTGAAATACCAGGCATGAGGTATTGAAATCACCAGTGGATGACTTTCCGTAAGGAAATTAAGGATTTAGAGCATACTCTAAATTCCCAGAATGCTAGAAAATATATTAATTTTGATGTTCCCATGCCCGCCGTCCAATGAGCAGCCCACGGCAAAGGCTAACCTTCCAAATATGACCACGGCCTTCACCAGGACCTGGCGCTTCTCCACACTCAATCAGCGCCGGGGACATGCCTTTGGTGCCCATCGCCGATGGCATGTCGAGCGTGCAACCTCCAGGGGAAGTGTACAATTCTTCACCTGGAATTGTTTGCTGGAGTTCCACAAAGACAAATCCTGCAGCCTTGAGAGTTTTTGTGAAGGGAGGAAGAAGTTGTCACATCCCTTCTTCGAGGTTTTAGCTCAGGGGGTCCCCTCCACGTTGTTAACCACACAAATTTAGGATTGATGGCATGCCATAACAGGAAATCTGATCGCCGAGGTCATCTTTGACGCCCACAGTGTGGTCACACCCTCACGACACCAATTCTTGGTGAACACTGTGTCTCCCCCCATCCTACATGATTTGTATATCGGATGCTTGAAATGAGCAGTTACAGGTTGTCCAAACCAATTTTGAAGGAGGGACTTCCTCGACATGCAAATCCCAGATCTTGCAAAAATGAACTAACCTATATTGGGAATGCCTTCCAAAATTAAGGAAATCACTAAATCCTTACGGAAAGTCATCCAGTAGCACAGTAGATGTTTCAACCAAGAATGAGCATGTTTGACCCCAAGGGACGAGTGAGGATGGGGCAATCGCGTAAGGAATACAAACACGAAAGCATGGCATAAGTACTCAATCGACAAACCCTAACCCTCTTCAGCTTGCGAGCTCACTCAACACCCAGAAATTCCAAGATGAGGCTCTCGAAAGTTCAAAATCTGTCCGGCTCAGGGACCTTCCCCAATTGTCGGGGGTCCTTTGCAAGCTTGTACATGGCTTCTCAATTCTTACGCTCCCTGGGGTGGGAAGATTAGCCAGAATCACCCGACTGATGCCAATAGATCCAGATCTCGTAGCTGTCCAGCGCGGTGAGCATGGCGTCGGGGGATACCACCGGTTCTTCGTGCAAAATCTTTGAAGTTCACATTCTGGAAATTCTGTTCACTTATCTCTTGAGTACTAATCACTATGGACAATGATAATGTACAGTATTTATGAGTTGTAGCATGGTTCAGTGCGACCTCAGCCTTGTCGGCCGTGCAGCGATCTCGGGATCTAATATTGGCCCATCACTCGGCTAATCCTGGCTAATCATCCTCCCAGGCAAGGCGGGCGAGCTGGAAAACGAGCACAAGAATTGAGAAGCCCTATGGGCCACAATTATCAAGTACTTACTCTATTGATTCAACGTCTCGGGTGTCCTAGCATTGAAAACACGTCACAAGACCTCACCTCGAATGATGACTCAGTCCATGCTGCTCTGTGCGGCACAGATGGCTCGGGGTGCACATAGGCTCATGGTGCATCACCGCGCGCTCATGCGCGCTCGGGCGAGCCACCGCTAGTAGTGGCTGTTCAAGCATGGGACTCCGACTATATCCGCCTTACTCCCTTGGGCTTCTCTCCTGGTGAGGCACGTATAAAATGCCATGTTGCTGGCACGAAGCCTCCATCATCTCCCCAACCTCTGGTACGCGGTCACATGTTGGTGGTTCCGTTGACTCTCCTGTCGCTCTGCTCCTGCTTTGCCGCGATCTATGCCGCGACCGATCACAACCCCATCTTCAAGAACACGACAGCTGTTGTGACGGTCAACACCACGAACGAGGGCCGGCTCGGGTTCACCAATTCATGGATGCTCATTGGAATGTACACCGCGACCGTTTACATCCAGGGCCAGCCGTTCCAGGTTGTGATTGACACTGGCAGCTCGGACCTATGGATCTACAACTCCCAAAATCTGACGCTGGACGGCCTCATTCCCACTGGGCACAGCGAGAACGTCACCTATGAGTGAGTAGAGCTCTCGCCTCGACGGCAGTGTGCGCAATATTCATACTTCGCTCATGGTAGTGATGGGACTTATATTGATGGGCCGATCGTGCTCGCGAATATCTCCCTTGGCCAGTATACAGTGCAAGCACAGGCGTTCAGTTTGTATCTCAGCCATTCCGGCGCTTTTTAGTACTTACCATGTTACTCCAGTCAACTCCGGATCCGCTGCTGCTGAAATTGCCAGGTCTGCCGATGGTATCCTGGGTGTCAGCTCGTACGTGTAGCAATCGACCTCCTGCCTTGCTTCCACTGATCTCGTAATTTGGGCAGACCGTTCGCTTCCGGTATTTTCCAAAATCTATATCACAATAGCACAGACAATGGTTGGCCATTCCTGTCAAATGTAAGAACCTACGATGTCTCAGAATCATGAGATCCTATCGCTCAAACACGTTGTAGCTATTCAACAACAATCCCGACATGGAGCCGTACATTACCTTATACCTTACACGCTCTGCTGTTGGCGTCGTTGACGGCGGTGCTCTCACGATCTGTAAGTTCGCTGATACACTCTTGGTGCGTATGCACTGACTGGGTCTGCGTAGCGGAGATTGTGACGAACTTTGAAGCGGTCCTTGAGGCACCTCCATTACCGGTATACTCTGACGATACCTTCTCCACGTTCATGGACGGTGTTTACTTGGATGGGAAGTTTCTAACTGGCAACTCGTTTGGGTGCGTTTTGTATCTTTCATTTTGAGATGTACAGCGCTTACCCGGTGCTATTCAGACCCAATGGCACTGGTGTTAATGCTAACCCTGGTCCCAATCAGACTATCGTCATCCTTGATTCTGGTACTGCCCTGAGTGGGTGTTCACCTTGTCGATTAACTCACATAGTTGTCGGTGTGCTAACTGGTACATTGACAGTGATAGCTCCGCCGTACTACGTCCACGGGATCTACAAGGATATCCCTGGAGCGCAATGGATTCCTAGTATAAGGACTTATTCGGTGCCGTGTTCGACAAAGTTGAACATCAGTATGGTGTTTGGGTTCGTCTACATCTCAATCCCTATTCTTGCAGAACAAATTGTTTATCTGTCGACTCGCGATTCACAGTGAGAGCATCTACCCGGTTGACCCCATCGACTCCACAATTGTCGGCGTCAGCGATGATGGTTCTTTGAAATGCATCGGTGCTATCAGTTACAGCGGTGCATCCGTTGGTGCCGGTATGTATCCCTTCTGCAAGTGTGGCGGCTCCAGCTGATCGCCCGGATTCGTTCGTACCATAGATTTCATCCTCGGCAGCTCGTTCCTGCGGAATGTCTACACGCTCTTTCATTGGGGAAACTGGACCGAGAACCGCACGAACCAGCCCTACATGCAGCTACTCTCTGTGCGTCCGGCGCTCAAGTGCACCATCTGTTACTGACCGCTTTCCCAGCTCACGGACCCGGACAAGGCCTGGGCGAACTTCGACACGCTCAACTTGGAGCGGATCGGGCAGACTGAGCAGCAGCAGATCCAGGATAACCAGAACTACACGTACCCGAAGACCGTCTCGCAGAGCGTCACGTACTCGCTCACCTCCCCCTCCCTCTCCGCAACCCATTCGGCGGGTGCGTCCAGCACCTCGGGCCCTTCTGCAAGCACCCTGAGCCCGTCGACGGCGAGCACCACCACTCCCGCTGCGGCTGCGAAGCTCGACGCGGCACTCGCTGAGGCGTCCGGCGGCGCGTCGTCGTCATCGACGGTCGATCTCGGCGGGCTCACGCGCAACTCGTACATCATCATGGGCCTCATCGCGGGCGTGCTCGTGCTCCTTCTCGGCGTCCTGATCAAGCTTGTCAGCGACGGCCGGAACCAGCAGTACCGCGCGGTGCCGAACGTCATACGTCCGCCGATGCATTTCAGCGACAAGCCTTACGAGCCTGAAAGTGAGGCGTTCGTGACGCCGTATGACGATCCGGCGAGGCCGCATTGAGCGTCCCGGTGGTGATGGTTGTGGGCGTCTGGCGGGTGGCCGTTCGTCCCTTGGTGTATATGCTTGATTCTTCTTATTTATCATAGATCCAGATCTCAGCTACGTCCAGCGTGGTGAGCACAGCGTCGGGGAACCCACTGTTTCTTCGTGCAAAATCTTTGAAGTTCACATTCTGGAAGTTCTGTTCACCTCTCTCTTGAGTGATAATCACTATGGACAATGACAATATGCATTATTTATGAGTTGTAGCATGGTTCAGCGCGACCTCAGCCTTGGCGGCCACGCAGCGATCTCGGGATATATTATTGCCCCATCACTCGTCTAATCCTGGCTAATCATTCTAACAGGCAAGGCGGGTGAGCTGGAAGACGAGCACAAGAATTGAGAAGCCCTTCTACAGGATCCTGGATAATTCCCTCAGACGCCAGGTGCACCGTCGGTATTGTACACCTAGAATAGGCAAGTGTTCACAATCAATTGATTCAGTCTCTAATGCGCTCGGCATGCTTCAGATTTTGCCATCCGTCTTTACCCTTCGACACACCACAGATGCGGAGTGCTCTTCGTTTCCATGATGCCCAGAATCCTGCAGCCAGTAGAGAATTCGCTACGGGCAATCCAGCTCTGTAATAACCAAAACACTAATGCAGGATCCCCCGTACAGAGAAAGAGAAGCAATTGATCAGCAGCACTCCCCGCATATTATTCTAGTGCTATAGTACTTTTATTAGCTCATTACATGGTAGGCAAGCGGCCGGATTTGCGTTGCAGAGTGTGTTTCTGGTAGCAGGTGACGACGCTCGATAAGGCTCTCGGTCCAGGAAGTAGAGCACCTCACGGTTCTCTAGAATTTCAGTGAGTATGTACTTGGGATCTTACGTTAATTTGACGAAAATTTGTCCTGCGCTTTCCCGTGAGGTTCAGCTGGTGCAGCAGCAGTATCATGGCAACATACTCTCCATCGTATTGTATGCTTCTATCTTGCTACATGACGCCAGATACACACAGTGTCTCCGCGGAGGACAGTCTAGCACACTGTCCCGCCGCTTAGAGTTTCTGTGGAGCAAGTAGCATCAGATGAGGATAAGCGCGTCAACCCATGATACTACGAGGCATCTATTCTCCCGGCTACGCCTTCCACTGCACTCTTCAGTTTAAGGGCTTCTCGGACAACGTTGTCATTTTCATCTTCGGCACATTCAACAAGGAAGGTGGATGTTTCCTCAGCGAATCCTGCATAATGCTGTAGTGAGACGAACTCCAGGTAGAATAGAAAAATATACCTAGTAATTTGCTTCCATGGGCTCTCCACAGGGCTTCGCTGCATGACAGGCTGAATTGACGTATTCTCGGATCTTCTGAGCGGCTTTCCATGAGAATATCCAGGTTCATGGATTTTAACAGGGTATCATCGTCTAGTGTGCCCATAGTAGCTGTCAGACAGCTCAAGAATGGGATCTTTCCTGCATTCAACTGGACGCAAACCGGAACCTGCTTGCTCATAATGGAGACAAGCTCCCCCAATTTCCTGTCTCTCCAAAACGCTGTGAAACGGAATCAGAATCCACTGGGTTACTGCATGCATTTACGCTATGGCACGTACATCCTTCGTCGTAGGCCAGGGAGCTGGTAATAGTTTGCAACACTGCTATCCACACCGACGAGTCTTGCAGCGATCCAGAGACAAATCCTTCGAAGACTCTCAGGACTGGTTGCCATACGAATGACATGTAGGGAATCATCAAGCCCTGGGGCAACATAAGCATGAGACATGGGCTCTGGATTGTCATTTCCTCACCTTGAAGTAATTCAAGAGCGCTATATATATATGGCAGAACCTAACTTGGCGAGATGCTTCAGCCGCGTCTGCAATGGTACGGGGTCAGACGCACGTCTTCATGAGAAACAAAAGGCTAACCGTTGTCACTTGCAAAGGCCCAATCGCACAGTTTTCGGAACAGGGGTCTGAAAGCCGTCTCGTTCAGCTTAACGACCAGTTCGACGAACGACGGGATGATATCCGTTTCTATCTGGATTAACCTGTCAATATCCAAGGTTCAGGATAGATGTGAACATATATACGCACTTCCTTCCCGTCAGCGAGCACATTCATGTTCACGTTCATGTTGAATGCATCGTGGAACGTTTCAAACAATAGTCGCAGATGGTCGAGCACAAGAGGTCTTGTTGCCGCCCGAATCGATCTCTTCATAAGGGAGAAGAACCCAATACACCTCAACGGGTTGACCTGAGATTCCTCAGTATGACTTGACCAAGGAGGCACATTCAACTTACATCCACCGATCCGGTTGATGACCACACTGCGCACAGTGTTGGTAGCAACACCTTCGACGGCACGTGCTTTGCCAGGGTTTTGACAACAGAAGTCATCGTAGCAAATTCGGGTGTAGATGACGCAGTGACGCAGAAATCCAAGTATAAATTGACGACTCCTGTAAGCTCTTGCCCGCTCCAGAACGTCGGAATCGTAGTAAGTAGAGTGTGCACGACAGTGAAAGCGTCCTTGGGTATGTCTTCTCGATTGACTGTATGGACGTTAAGAGTTCAGCGGTCCCGAATGTGCTGATCACGCCATATACGCTTACTCCATGTCCCAGTCAGAATATAATGCAAGGTCGTGACGCACACTTGAACGATCTCTTTAAGATACGGGATTATGCGCGGTCCCAACGTGGAGCTGGTAGATTGTTCAGTGTCCTGTGTAAGCTATAGAGCGACTATGCCCACCAAAGTGATTGCAACAAGTTGAAGGCGATGGAAGCTGTCTCTTGCTGTTTCGCGGCTATCAACACCAGGGGTACAGTGCTCGTAAGAGCATTCTCTTCGTCTGGACATGCCGTCTGGCTGATGGCACGCAACGCATGGAACGCCGCCCGAACAAACACGACATCGTGTCCCAAAGTTAACGATTGCCGGACTATATCAACGACCATCACAATGGAAGGCGTTGATTCCCGTCGAACTTGATCAGAAATATTCGTCAAACGTTCACCAAGAAGCTCCAAAGCTCCAGTTTGGATCTATTAGGGAAAATAAAGTCTAGCCGTATCCAGAGGACGTACTTGTGCAAGCTCACTTTGACTTCCGGGCTTTCAATCATTGTCAAAATGCCAGCAATGAAGTCACCTGCCGACATTATCTGCAAAGTGCTAGCCATCGCTGTTCGTGCTGCCACCGTCAAATCGTGAAGCGACTCATCGGCACCAAGCACCGTGAAGCCCAAAAGTAGAGACAGCACTTCAGAGGTCAGTATGCGTGCCCGTGACGCTTCGGACGAGGACAGGACAGGTATGTCCTTCAATGTGTGATCGGTGAACACAAGGAGTGCCAATACTTTTCGTTTGGGAACGGTAGGAGGTGTCTCATCCTCTCTGAGCAAGGATCAGAATGGATCGAAGAACAGGTAGTAAATGAGGGCTCACAGACTTGTATACAAGAAAGTTTCCTGTCCTTGGCCAAGCAACCGCTGACTCTCGTGCATCATCTCCACCAGGAGCTGCGAAATACACTAAGATTTATGTAGAACTTGAGAAGATGAAAGCGTACAGATAGTCTTTGCTCTGCAGGATAATGTTGTACGATATTGAGTGGCAAGGAGAGCGTTATCCGTGCATCCTGGAAATTCTGGCGTACAACACGATTTGTCATCCTGTCTACGAGTAGCATGCAGACAGGAGGCAAGAATTCCTCCGGGCCGAGAACGTCCACAAGATGGGAGAACAGGCTGATGAGTCTCGAGTGAGTTGCATAGACGATATGATAAAGCTTCACTTACTGTGCACGGCGATGCCGGGGAATGTGGTTGGAAGCATCCGTGAAAATGCGCAGGAATTCTCGCGCTGCAATGTAGAGTTCAAGACGCTCAGCATGGGCGTCCTTCAGCGAAGCCGCCATCACCGGAACAATACTATCTATTGTCTAAGTCATTCATGAGCGATTGTTCCCGCAGTTGCGACGCGACACTGGGACACACCCTTTGCACAACCCCAAAGCTATATGTGTCATCGCGATGGAAAACATTGGAGCCCATAAACGTGAAGACCGGCATGACGTTGTGTAAGATCGCGTCGGGAGTCAAACGTGCCAAATTGGACATTAGAAGGAGTGCTTGATGCGAGGTCTGAGGGTTCTCTGATACTACCATGAGCCACTGTCAGTGGACATGCTCTTGTTCAGAAGATGATCCTACCTCTAATTAGCTCAACGAGCACATCAACGCGGACAGATCCAGCAGGGAGCTTAGAATTCTCCTGGAGGAAATTGAACAACAGCTGGGGAATTTAAGTAACTGAAAACGTACGGGCATGCTACTAATAGTGCTGTCTAGCGCAGTCATGAGTAGCTGCTCCACGTAGCTTTTCTCAGCAGGGAGGACTGTTGCATGAGTAGTTACTTTGTTCAATGTCTCCAGGAGGCATGTCATCAAATCCAGAGAACCAGGTAATGATATTGAAGCCAGGATCTCCGCCAAAAGACACAAGGAAGGAAGGGCACTGGTGTTGTTCAGAGGGCTGGTGCTGCAGAGATTTGATTTAGACTCGTCAAGCCTCCACAGAACAGCACCACTCACTCTTCAAGTCTCACACGCTTGCTGGCACGTTCACCTGTTTCTTCAGCGGTAGGCTGGAGCAAGACGAGAAGCCGTATCATCAATGGCACTTCCGTCACGACGTGAGTCAGCAGCCGTTTACAGTCGGACGTCTGCTTTCATGTGAGAAGTGATCTTGTACGTGAGATTAAACGAGTACTAACGGAGTTGGCTTGTTGACCCCCGATCTCCAAAAGTACACGGCATAAGTCTACCTTGCGCTCAGCTGACAGCTTCGCGAAGAGCCCGCTTTGAACGTTGGAGACAAGAGCGAGTTTCATGGCAGTGAAAGATTCTAGTGAATAGAGAAAAGTTATAGCAACATAGAGAAACAATTTCGCTCGTGATACATACCGTTGCTGAAACATACTGTCAACACCTGTTCGAAGGTAGACCATACAGGTTTGCTCTGATCATTAAGATCAGACGCGGCAGACCTATCAAACGAAGACACGATTAGGGAGGAGAAGTCTTGGTACAGCTGATCGACATCTTCAGCCCGAGTGACGCGAGATAGTTTGTCCAAGACTTTCTGCAAAGTTGGCAGAAGCACCTGAGATTTGACCATGTTCGGCGCCAATTCCAGGCTTTTCAGGAGACTGCGCTGAACATGGAGGGCTGGGCAGGCGTTGACGTGCGAAAGAAGATAGCACATGATCCTCTGCTTGCGTCTGATAAAATCGAAATGATAACTTGCATAAGTACACCAACGCCAGGGAAAAGGGAACCGTACCCAGCCTGCTTTTTGGAGTCCGTCTTGTTTTCAGACAGATATTGCGCATGGAATTTGGCAATGAAGGTCCCATCATGGAGAAAATGATGTCGAGCTTCGACCAACGCGTTCACGTATTTGCAGAAGTCGCCCCATCCCAAGTACTGCAGGCTAGCTGACGATGGGTAGAAAGTGAGCGACAGACCAAATAAGCATCACAAACTCAAAACTCACCAGATCTAGGACCATAGATTTTGTCATACGCATAAACAGAGGAAACACCTTTCGCACTCGATAAGATCTTCAAGGATTCCAAACACGCCGAGGCCTCTTCTCGTACGCGACCCTCACTACTCTGCAGGCATACGATGAGTGCCGGAAGTACAGTCTGGAAGTCGACACAATGTCCTGTTGCATGGTGTGCATTGAGAAATGCTACGGCATGGCGGAGGGCTGCATGACAAATATGGTACTCGCTAACCGCATCCTCTTTGCCATTGGGGAGTGAATTAATCCATACGCCAGCAAGGAATGCTAGGGCTTCATCACCAAGATTGATGAACAACATACGGAGGATATGGGTTGAAAGAAGAGGAAGAGATGACGTCGAGTTGCTGAGTTTATACATCGCACGCATCAGCCGCACGTAATCTTCTGTGACATCGATACCGTCCTGCGCCTCTTCAGTCTGATCAATGGAAGATACAGCTTAGATAACACTGAAGGAAATGTAATACGGATAAGGCAACGAACCGATCGAGGAGTTGCAAGCCAATTCAAAACAACACCAGCAGGCGGGGGAATTGTCGAAAGCACGCTCAATACAGCGACTTGAAGGCGGTGCAATGTATGCTGGCTGCTTGGCTTGAGGACTACGGCCGTTACCAGACTGGCATCTTGCAGGAACTGGCGGAAAGTGTCAACAAAGCCACACGCACAGCAGGAGAGACACGCACAACTTGCAAGTTGTCGACACCACGCATGAAGCCACTCATTCCCTCCAGGCTCTCCAACTTCATTGCCTCTAGGACTCGGTACGCGACGTTCCACCGGTGCTCCTTGGACAGTCGACTGAGCAATGCTCGGATTACCAAATAACTAAGGTTGCGCGAATAGAGGTCGGTTTCGTGCAACTTAGACAATAAGGCATCCAAATGATGCGCAAAGTTATTCGATATGGCAACGTTGTCTTAGCAGTTGTCATCTTAGCCATACGCGTCGCGACAGTAGCAGGACTAGGACTCTCACCTGCGAGTTTGGAGGTCAATGCCAGATTCAGTTTCGTCAGCAGCTCCACATGACGGTCTTCATCACAGTACTGTCCTTCCTGATCCTGTTTTGCTTGTTCCCATCTCACGGCATCTACGCAGCCGCCCAGAACCGAGTATCGACCAATACCCATGACATCGTGCCGATCTTTCTCCCTTTCCTCTATGATATTCCACACCATACTAGTGGTCTTCTGCTTGGGCTTCGAGAATAAGAGGAACGGAAAAACTACCTGATAAAATAGAGTAGTCGCCAAACCCTCATCCTTGGCTCGTGCCACGGAGAAGAAGTAGTTGGTGACGAACGTCACGTGCAGCCGAATGAGATTTCTCGCGGGCGACCGCTTGGGATGTAGAGCTTGGGTCAGAGATGATATGTAGCCCGCAGCGCCGCCTAGAAGGACAGGTAGGAGGACACTAGGCTGTGCATAGAGCGCCTCGATTACTGCAGCGCTGGTGTCCCCTGCCCGTGAGAGGAGAGTAGACGCGACAGAGGCCTAAAATATGAACGTCGGACAGTCAATCAATTTTGACGTTGGTTTCATAAAAAGGGTGAAAGAAGCAATGGAACACATACACGATCAGAAACGGACAAATCCGTGTTGGATAACATATTCAATAGGTCTCGCACTGCCAATGCGCGAGAATTTTCATCAGCACTGATTGAAGCAACTATGGCCCCAAGATCTTGCATGTGACTGGACATGGAGGACACCTTAGAATCAAGAGTCATTGAGTCACAAGAAAAGCCGTGACGCGGACAAATAAAAACATACAACAGTCAAGGATACTATAATCTGCTCAATAGCTTCGCGTTGATCTTCGTCCTGTTTCATTGCGTCGTGGCATACTTGCTCGAATGTCTTCGGGTGACGCTGCTGTATATGCGATAAAAATCTGCGCGTATTCATGTCCCGATTGCCCTCCGTCGATTGAACTTCTGTCGCATGGCGGAGCAGAACCGTCGTGGCATGACGAACAATGTTCGACGAAACTTCAGTGCTAGTCAAGATGGACTCAAGCAAATGAGCCAATGTTTCGCGGTCTAGACTGTTTGCCAATTCGTCACCGTCAAGAAATTGAAAGGTACAAGGCACTACGTACTGCTTGACCAGACTAGTGATCAGCGCGTTGACCAACTTCTCAGCTCCAACCCAAGATAATCCGGCTCTCACTTCGTCATCGATTCCTCTGTCAAAATACTGTGAGGATTCGACAAGACCCTAGATTGAGTGGCACATACGAAAACTGGATGAAGGTGTCCATCACATTTCGTGGAAGAGCTTCCAACTCATCTTGAGGTGCACATACAGCGACAAGTGTTCGCACAAATTGCTTTGGCGACACGCGATCTGCGGAAGACGAGATGGCAGAAAGAACAGCTTTGAGAGCCTTAGATGACAGATGGCATTTCTGAGACGTAGCAGCCAGGAGTAGATAGCTTCCGAGCTGAGATTGCCATCATTAACACGTTCTTTGCAAGAGAAGGACATTCTCACTGTAGACTCCTGAATCAATGTTGGTTTCACGGTGGAACTCGCATTCGGTCGGAACTGTAAAGGTTCCACGAAGGCAGGAAGCAAGAAAGCAACAGCTCCCTCATCCAGTGTCTGCTGATGTGCAACGAAATCCAGGGACAAGCCTGTATGAAAAGCCACCAGCGCCCTGTGAAGACCGGCATCTTCTCTTAGGGCTTTTGGTAAGAGCTCTAAGACGAAGCGCGCGAAGTCCGAATTCTTCGACATCTCAGCGACAAGTGCGCTGCGTGGAAGAGACACAACGTTCTTCTTGTAAGGAAGCAAGAAGCGGAAAACTGACTGGTCGCTGAAGAAGCCGAGTAAGGTGGGAGAGTGTGTGAATAAAGGAGTAGGCGTACGGGATATGCAGTATGGTCACCATCTTAGCGAAATGGGGGGACTCGTGGTACGGCAGGAACAACGCCAGGACATGTTTGACATTGAATTCGTTTATCCTGAAAGAGCAGACTGTGAACAGCTGTTAAACGGTAGCGCAGCAAAGAACAATGCGGGATAAAAGGTAAAAGGTGGGGCTGAGTCATACCTAAACCTCCGCACAAGCCATTCAAGGACCTTTCCGGTAGGCGCATCCATGAGGAATGGACCTAGAAGGGGCAGAAAAGCAGCAATCTGCTCGTCCAACTTCGCATTGGCGTCAGCTGCTTGCAGCGTTCTATCCGTAGATTTCGCGGCATCTGAGAACAATGTTTGCTCGAAATATCTGAGGACCGGGTTCATGGACTTGAGCTGCAGAAAGCCATTGACACCCAGGGCGTGGAGGGAGTCAAGATCATGTTGGAAGGCTTCCTTAGCAGAGAATAGATATGATTCCGTTGACTTCCGGCGAGAGCTGTCGACCAGAAGTGAAGCATTGAGAGATGCTCCCTGGGCCAGTTGTGCCGCAAGACTGGAGGCCATGAGAGCCAACTTGAAAACCCAGCCGCGAGGTGAGCGCTTGATTCACAAATTTTGATCTAAGATCTTTCGATCTGGTACCAGGTCACAGCCCGTGACGCGCGCGTTGACGCGTGGCTGCGTGACGTGTCTGCCTACGTGTCGGAAAGTACTTTGTCTATCCGCCACGCAGCTACGGGACTCCTTATAGATGCTCAGATTTCCTTGAGCACTTTCAGCCCGAGAATGAAGCTCTCTCTTTTCTTTCTCCTTTTGTCATTGTTCTCCCAGACGACACTGGCCTCCGTTCTGGCGATTGACTACGGTGCAGACTGGATCAAGGCTTCGCTCGTGACGCCGGGGGTGCCGTTCGATGTGCTACTCAACAAGGACTCGAAACGCAAAATTCAGTCTGTTGTTGGCTGGAAACAGGATGACAGATTGTTTGGTTCGGATGCCTTCAACATCGTGAGTGCCATACTGGTTTCATCATAGACAAGCTCCGATGTATGGGCTGCAGGCTGGTCGATTTCCCTCGGACTCGTTTTCTTCTTTAAAATACCTCCTGGCGGCACCATACGGATCTGAGTCATACTACGAATCAATATCTCAGGCAGACGTCGTGAAGACCGAGCGAGGCACTGTAGCCCTGAAGCGGCCGGAAGGGACAGAATGGAGTGTAGAAGAGCTAATCGCGATGCAGTTCGCATACGTGCGCGAACTTGCAGAATCTTCCGCTGGAGAGAAGGTGCACGACGTCATCGTGACGGTGCCGCCGTATTTTACACAGTTTGAGCGCGACGCGGTCGTAGACGCCATCGAGATCGCAGGTCTGCGCACCCTGGCCCTCATCAACGATGGTACTGCGGTCGCTGTTAACTACGCGATGACTCGCGCATTCCCAATGCCCGAATACCACGTCATCTACGACGCAGGAGCCTCGTCCATTCGTGCGACTGTCGTGTCTTTCGCAACAGGTTCAAGTGAGCCAAACTCAAAAAGTGGCATCGGGGATAGCACACAGATCTCCGTAGCGGGCGTCGGATATGACCGGTCCATTGGAGGAACAGAACTTGACCGTCGGCTCAGAGAAATCATGATCAACGACTTCCAGCGTAAACACGGGAAGAACATCCGTGGAGACAAAAGAGGCATGGCGAAGCTGTGGAAAGAAGCGGGGCGCGTCAAGGCGATTCTAAGTGCGAACTCCGAAGCTATGGTGACGGTAATTGTCGACTTTCGACCATCCGCGCACTCATACTCAATGACGTTCGTAGGTGGAAAGTCTTGCGTTCGACATTGACTATCGGTCCAAGATTACAAGGGCAGACTTCGAGATCGCATGCAAAGACTTGAAGGGCCAATTCGCCCGCCCCATCTTCGACGCCCTCGCGAAGGCTGGGCTCGCCTTGGTATGAGAACTCAAACATATCCTTCAAATTCGACTGATTATCTTATAGAGCAATGTCACATCTGTCGTTCTAACTGGCGGCAGTTCTCGAACTCCCATGATTCAGGCCGCCGTAAAAGCCGCTGTGGGAGAGTGAGTTATGTCAAGACTATTATGCGAATGGCCACTCACTACCCTATCTCCAGCAACAAGATCGCTCTGAACGTGAATGCCGATGAAGCCGCTGTACTAGGTTCGTCATTCTTTGGAAACGCTTTCGGCCTCGCTGATGGATATCCAGGCGCCGCTCTGCATGGTGCTAGTCTCAGTCGTCAATTTAAGACAAAGGACATCAAGGTCTCCGACATCGGTGTGCATGATATCCAAGTTTCCTACTCGTCCGAAGCCAAGTCTGTGAACGGTAGGCCGCGCACGATCAGCACGCTGGTACTACCGTCCGGCTCCAAGACCGGTAGCAAGAAGACGTTAACCTTCAAGCGCACGGATGACTTCTCCGTGAAGTTGGAATACAAGACTTCGCCAGCCCCGTAAGCACGAAGTCAGCTTTAGTGGTGCCCACGGAGACTGACTCTTCGGTAGTGGATATTCTACGGACATCTTGGAAGTTGATATCGTGGGCGTCGGCGATGCGATTCGTAACCTGACAGATCTCGGAGCGATCGATCCTGTGGTTAAGGCCACCGTCGTTTTGTCCGAATCTGGATTCACCTCAGTCCACGATGCGATTGCCTTTGGCGAAATCAAAGATGACTCACTGGCAGGTGCGTGCACCATTCTCGATCGCAGTACAGAATTATTGAGCCGAGTCCAGGGAAACTGAAAGAATTTTTCGCGGGGTCGCCCTCGTCCTCGGAAGAGACCACAGCTGAGCCAGAGACGGCCGTACGGGATGAGCCATCCGCGTCGTCAATCTCTGCCCCCGCTTCCCCCTCGCCTGCACCGGAGAAAACGTCACAGCGACACAGTACTATCTCGCTGGATGTACAGGTTAAATTCCCCTCTATACCCCCTATGTCTGTTCCAGAAAAGCGTCACTCGCGTGATAGGTGCAATGGAGTTCTCTTTCTAACAACCTTATATGCGGCTAATTTACACAACGTACGGTAGGTTAATTGCCGTTGATAATGAAGAAGCCATGAAGCGGCGCAAGGAGGAAGCGAGGAACTCACTGGAGGGATATCTCTATAGACTGCGCGACTTGCTGGATGACGAGTCGGATACCCCCTTCATGAAATGTTCGCAGGAGGCAGAGCGCCAGAAAATGGCTGAAAAATTGCAAGAAGCTCTGTCCTGGCTGCATGAATATGGAGACGATGCCCAGACTAGAGAGTATCTTGACAAGAGAAGTGTCTTGGAGTGAGTCTCGCATACCAACCTGACGTTGCCGTGCTAAGTTCTATGTTGCGCTCAACAGGAGCCTTGAGCGACCTGTTGTACACCGATACAAGGAGATCGAAGAATTCCCACAAGCGCTGAACAACAGCCAGATGTGGAACTGGAGCACACGACTCTTCTTGACAGAAGCGAAGGCGAACATGACGAATGTGGGACAGGGCGGTCCTCAGTCACGATATACCCAGGACGAACTAGATGCGCTAGAGAGGGTGCTCATAGAGCACGAGCGGTGGCTGAACGAGTGGGTGGAGAAGCAGAAGTCAGTGAAGATGAACCAAGATCCGGTGATATTATCGAGCGAGATGAGGGCGCGGGCGAAGATCCTGGAAAATCATCTGCAGAAGTTGGTAAGGAAGAGGCCTCCTAAGGCACCCAAGAAGACGCTTGCGAAGACGGAGGCGACACCGACGACCAGCGCGAATGAGGCGGACGATTCGGAGAGAACGCAGCCGACGGCGCCAGCGGGAGATCAGCATCATGATGAACTGTAGAGTACATACCACATAGTTGACGACTGCTGCATATATCTATTCTCTATTTCTTGTGGCTTTCCCGTGAATGGAAACGTGCACCGAAAGACAACGGAATCGCAAACGATCACAGAAAAATACGAATGTATATCTATGACAGCAAGAGCGCTCGTTTGGGCAACCAATTGTCAATTCTCAGACATGCATTCATGATTCTACGTTATACATACGTATCTGCCAAGGCAGACTGTAATACATAGCTACGATAATAGGCAGTCAGCTTCAGTCGTCGATCTTGGGGTCTCCTCGTTCCTGACGGTACTGCGCCTCAAGAGAGACGTTGTGCATTGGTACGGTTCGAAGAGAGAATGAATAAATCTATGTCAATCTGTGCACAATTCCAGAAAGAAAAGCAGCTACAACTCAAAATATTGTGCAAGTGCTTGCATCCCGATTGAGGTCATCCAGACTTCGTGATCTTCCACTTGACGCCAACTCTCCCCGCTGCCCTCCCTTCGCAGATCTGGGCCTACAACAGCATTTCAACGTACTTGGATACCCATCAGTCCAGTTTAGCTTGTTATTAGTATCTGTGGGCCTCTCGCAGAGGTAATCGCCTCAAGGATAGCGCTATCATGTCGAGGAGGAGCCATGCTAGTTCTATGTACGGTGCCAAGCACGAGAGACGCATTTCTCGTTTTCGTGTCTCAGATGAGGAGCTCATGAAGTACGTTCCGTGTAGTTGCATTGCGCTGTACAGTACTGATAGCCTCTCAACGGAAGTTTCGTGCTGCGGGTAGCGTGCGTCTCGCTGTGCAAATATGTAGTCATTCCGGTGCTAATGTGGGCGGCCCATTGGCAGTCTGCTAAGCTATCAGCTGCAGCCAAAGGTGGTGGAACCTCACTCGGCGACCGACGGAGAAAGTCGAGAGAAGGATTACTCTTCGCGACTGTCGGGCGCGTTGACAAGCTCAATATTCTCCATCGGGGACCTCTTCAAAGACAGTGGGGCGAAGGGTGTCAGGTTCCCCAAAGACCTCTTGAAGGTCTTGGAGCAGAAGTTGCAGGACATTGCCATGGGAAAGGATCCCGCGTGCGTTTCCATGAGTTAAATACCTGTGAACATGACTGACCGTCAGACACTTACTGTCGGCAGTTATCATGACCAGCTCATACGGAGAACCATGGCTGTGTTCTACGGTCAGGTAAAAGATGACAACTTCAGGCGACAAATGAAGGAGAACCGCAAGATCGAGGAGCTGATTCTCATGTTTGCCACGAACGCGACAAACGTCTTAAAGAAGGAAGCCACCCTGGCCGGTGATGGCTGGAAGGTCGAGGTCAACAACCACATCGCGCAGTTCATCCGCTTGCTTGGTGACTGTCTCCGTCACGTCAGCCATGTCTCACCAGAATTGACTGCGCGGCTCGACATGTACACTGCCAAATTGGCCCCGTCCCAGGCTCCCAGCGATTCCGGCTATGATTCCGCATCTACTTCACGAGATCGCGACTCCGTTGTATCCTCCAAGCGCGTCAGCACCAGCGTGAGAGACATGCCGCTGGTGATGACTGCGGCGCGACTGTTTAAACTACCAGATCAAGCAGTTCAGAAGGAGATTGACGATTTAGGCAAGTATTGCTCAGAGAAGGTAAGTGCTGGAGCCCCCTTCAGGTACAGTGTCCTGACATGCGTGTGGTCAGGCTGCATTGATAGACCTCAAAGTAAGAGTCGGTTTGGGATCCCAGTTAACACCACCTTATTTACTATTCTAGACGTGTCTGAAAAACATTAATGCTGGTGCGCCATTCCCAGGTCGTCGTGAAGACTTTGAGAGCGAAGCAGCTTGGCAATATTGGCGGACACTGGAGACGTCCCATCTATCGCAACTGATGCTTATTATGGTGCAGTTCAATCCCGACCTGGCTAAGTCTGGCCCCTCGGAAGTACTCCCGGACGTTCCAAGTTCAAATGGTGGTAGGCCAGGCTCGGTGTACTCCACGCGAAGGCCAGAATCGTACCACTCCCCAGCTTCGCGACACGCGTCAGTCAGCAGTCGGCATTCCTTGATGCCTTCAAACAACCTCACGTCCAATGACATCGACGCCGTATCGGAAGATCTAGAAGGTGATGACGATGTTCCTGTCGGCCATCACTTCACCTTTATCCCCCCAAATCCTAGGAAATACTACAAGAGATTACTGGAGCACTGCTTAGCCGCCGACTTGGAGGCTATGTTGAGTCCAACGGTGGGCGATGACGACGAGGTCTCGTTAGGCATCCTGTCACCAGCTCACATGGAACTCATCAACGAGTGTGCGTTGCGTTGGCGGATAGGGCAACCATACCGCGTGACCTGCTTCTTGGACCTAGTCAAGCAGTTCTATGAACGCAACGAAGTCCCGTTCGAGTGTATACCGGAGGCGATGTCAAACATTGCAAAGCTACTGCATGAAATCGAACTGGAGAAATGGCCGATACAGGACGTGTGTATTTCAACTTTCCGGTGTTATTTGACACTCACATCCTGAAATTGTAGTGCGATTACCTTGCCCAGATATACGGTGGCTTGTTCAGCACTTTCTTGTCTTCCCTCTACCATGCAATGGAAGCACTACCGAACCTGAAACCTGCAGATGTGATGCCCTTCATATCCGTATTGGAGACGGTACGCGACAGCGGGCTCTTGGATCGCTATGACGTGGATATTGCTGCGCGAATAGCTGACGTCCAGGATCAAATACGATCTGTTGCAGCCCGGTACTACGACGAGAAGAGTCACGAACTACATGCGGCACCAGGAGTTAACAGAGCACTTCCTCACCTGCTGCTAACAGACGAGATTGAAAAGGGCGCGAAGCTTCTTGACAAACGGTTCCCGGAACCCATCCTCAGGTGCGTGATCTGTATTCGACGAATCTTAGGCCGCTCACACGCAGTGCCAGGCAACTAGATATTGTATCACTAGTTGTTGATGTCCAGGTTTCTCACTTCCTGTTGGACCTTGACGACTCACGGAAACGCCTTTTCGAAGGCTCAATGAATGGCCCGACACCGGACATCCCTATAGAAGACATATTTGCTCTCTATCGTCGCACAAAGACTTTGCTAGGGATGTACAAAGCGTTTTGTTCACAGTAAGTGGAAGTGGTGCGGTCCCGGCGAGCAAGAGCTGACATTCGCCCCAGGGGCGAGGTTCACTTCGATCTTGGCGGATTCTTTGAGCCTTACGTGCGCCAATGGCTAGTCAGCACTGACAACAAGACCACTCAATGGGTGCATGCTGTGAGTTCTCCTGAAAGTATGCGCTATGAGCTCTCCTGATTTCGAATTTCAGGCAATTGCTGCAGACAAGGTTTGTAGCAGTTTCGCGGTTGGATCCGCTTATGCTGACCTTCCTGCAGTTTCAAGCAGAGAGTGAAGAGGGGCACAGTTCCTCCATCATTGACCTGTTTGATTCACTGCGCAGTCCTATCAATTTCTTAGAAGACCTGGGGTGGTATGACGAGTACCAGGAAGCCAGGTTTTTCACAAGCTTGTCCAAGGTATTGACGTTCCTACGGTCCGCCTGTCCAGTCCTGTGCTGACCACTACTGTTTCAGACCATTAGCAAAGCAGTGGAGCAGTACTGCCGGACCGTTGAGGAACTCTTCATGACAGAAATGTTCCCGAGACCGTCGGAATATCTGCAGCCGCAGAAATCTTCTGCATGGCTTGAGAAAGCGAAACAGCTGACCAACCAGAGCGAGAAGAAAGTGGAGCCGTTCACGTTCCAGCCCGAGTCCTGTGTGAAGCTCAACAATATCGAGGCCGCCCGGCGACTGTTGGATAATATGTACGCGCAGATGCAGGCGGATAAGAAGACGGAGATCCTGCAGAATGCTCCGCCCGTGCCCGACAAAGGCAATCACCCAGACCGCTTCCTGTTTACTGTCAAGATTGCCATCGCGGAGGGGCTGGTTGCCCTGGATAGCAACCCATCATCGAAGTTGGACACGTTCGTAACCCTCAGCGATGAACAGGGAAATCGGCTGGCGAAGACGCGTACTATCTACGAGACCCTCAGCCCTCGCTGTGAGCCTTTCGGTATCGCTGGCGTGTCATCTAATTCACATGCGATTTGTAGGGGACGAGACATTTGACATGTCGGTTGAGAAGCCACTGTGGCTGATGGTCAGTGTACGAGACCGCGCACTTGTAGGAAAGCATGATACCGTGGGACGAGCGTACATCTGTCTTGATCCACGGCGGTATGGTGACTTCCTTACGCACGATCAGTGGATGGACCTGGACTCTCAGGGTCGCATATTACTGCGCATCAGCATGGAAGGAGAGAAGGATGAGCTGCAATTCTACTTCGGACGCGCCTTCCGCTCACTCAAGCGTGCGGAGAGCGATATGGTGCGGGTCTTCATCGACAAAGTAAGCACTTGCGCGCATCCTGGATCGTGGCGATAGCTGACGACGATGGGTGACGGTAGATCTCGCCTTTCGTTCGGCAGTCCCTGTCACGTACGGTGCTGAAGGCGCTGATTAAGTCGTCTGGTGGTAGTATCGACTATAATAAAGCGCTCGGGAACGTGACGGCGCTGTTCGGGCAGCTGGGGTCGAACAGCTCTGAGGTACAGATCCCGCTGCCGCAATCTGAGAGGCCGCGCATTAAGCCCGAGGCGATGTCAGACATCGAGATCGAGCAAGCCATCGTGCCGCTGTTCGATTACCTGGATGCGAACTTGCCGACGCTGAACACCTATCTGAGTGAGTCGACGAAGGAGATGGTCATGACGCGCCTGTGGAAGGAGATCCTGAACGTCATCGAGGGCCTGCTCATCCCGCCGCTGTCTGACATCTCGAGTGACATGAAGCCGCTGAGCGACAAGGAGGTCGACATTGTTTTCAAGTGGCTCAAGGTGTGTGGAACTTCCGGACTCCAAGCTGTGATGCTGAGGTGCATGGATGCCAGTTCTTGCGTGACTACTTTTACGCGGGAGGGGAGGGCCCTGTGCCGATCGAGACACTGCAGAACCAGAAGTACCGCGACGTACTGTCGATCCGGCTGTACTACGACTGGCATACGTAAGTCGTCATGCCCTACCCCGTTGTTCTTTCACAGCTGACGGTCGCATGCAGTGACGCGCTAATGGAGGAGTGCGTGCGGATGATGCAGCAAAGCTTGCGCGCTTCGCCATCGGTGAAGAGGCGTGCAAAGAGCGTGTACACGCAGCGCAACCTCGGCACGATCAAGAACCGCAAGAAGGAGAAGCAGCAGGCGAAGGAAATTCCGAACGGCGAGACCATCCTGCGCATCCTCCGTATGCGGTACGTCTGGCTCCGTCGCCCTTTCCCGTGTGATAGATACTGATGTGCGCATAGGCCCGGGACGTCCGACTTCATCGCTCAGCAGCTGCACGCGATGACGAGCATGCAAGCGGAGCGGGAGGCGGAAGCACTGGAAGCGCAGAAGCGCAAGCTCCAGCGGCCACGCCAACAGCAGCAACAGCAGCAGCAGCTACCCGTGCCGCCGCTGCCACCGCTACCCGAGAAGACAGCGACGCCTGCACCATAAATGATGTCAGTCTCCAGCGGTTGGATCGTTCTGGTTGGATACCTCGCATGTTATACCTCTTTGTTCTCTTTCTCTATGCTACATTTTCCGCTGTCTATATGTTCCTCAGTGGCTGTGGTCATATATTCGGAAGTTTTCCCGCCCAGTATCTGTGGACTCGGAGCGATGTCGTGAGCCCTGTATCTTATACGAATGTTACATCGCAGCTCTACACGTATAGATGAATTACACCACAAGGGATAATTGCGATACCCCACAACCTCATTCCGTTGGCCTGAAATGGTACAGAGGAGAGGCTGTCTCCCTTGTAAATAGAGGATTAGTGAGAGAGCGTCCGAGATATCGCGGTAGGCTTTGCCTGGTTTAGGCACACGGCAGATTAATCTGGAAATTCAGGGGCCGCGTGCGAACATGCACGCTTGCCTATTATGGGTTTACACCTTAGTACGTAGTATCGTATACTATGTTTAGCGCCCGCCCGAGGAAATAAATTGCTCTGTTGCTCTGTTATGACAGCCGGCTGTTAGTGAATGTTCGTATATACAGCATAAAATCTGAAAGAAGTCGCTGAACGCATTCTGTCTCTCCTCAAAAGGGCCACAGTGTGTGAATTTACTGCATTGCGTTTCGTGGCAGTACATACGAGCTGATTATTGATTAGACCTCCTGTGGCAACTGCTGGCCCATTTCTTCCACTTTGCACTTCGCAAGGATGAGCCTCACCGTACATTGTTGTTTCCCTCCGCATGCTGGCCTGTCCGATGCCGTCTTCCCTTATGCTCATACAGATTTCCGGACTCTCTGCGCACGACGCGTCGCGCTCGAGGCACACCAGATCTGCCCACGCGTTTCCGAGATCAACTTTCGGATGATCCCGAATTCGTGTACTGCGTCATCCCGTCGATACCGGCCATAACGATAATTGACGTCCACTGCACACGCAGGATATGCACATAGATTCCGGCATGCCCAATCCTGGAGCCCCGAATTATATATATATCAGCTAGGAGTACATTCCGCGAGCGTACGAGTATATAGATAGCGTACACGGCGAGGGCTACGAACACGATTACAATTACGGATACACGGAGAATGTGGGCCGAACGTTCGTCGGGCACTCCGGTTCGGAATTTGAAGGTGACAGTTAGTAGAGAGGCCTGGGGTGCGCGTACTCGTCCTCCTCGGATATGGAGGAGAGGGAGGAGTGCCGCGAACGGGGTATCTCGTGGGGCCGCCGGCGCACACGAGGCGCCGGAGGCAGGAATGTAGGGGAGCTCGAGGCTGCTGTTGCTGTTGCCGAGGAACAGGAAGACGAGGAAGAGACGGAGGACAAGGAAGGTGAGGGTGAAGGGGTATCGCTAGGACGCGGACGGGGGCTCGCGGTGTAGATAATATACGGCTCCGCGTCGTCCGGGTCGTCTAGGGTATCGGGTGCGCTCGCGGCGTAGTCGTCGTCGTCAACATAGCGCAAGAGGTGATCCCACGTGTAGGTAGTGCCTAGCTGGAGGGGAGGTGAGTGAGCGAAAGGTGAAATGAGGAAGGCCGAAGATGTGTAGGGGATAGAGCAGGGGGAACTCACCTTTGGGCTGGGGGAGGCATACTGGTTGACCCAGTCAGTGATCCTGTGGGTCCACTCACGGCGGCGGATGAACTCGACACGGCCGCGGCGCTGGGCGGAGGACTCTATGAATTTCTTTTGCCGGCCACGATCGTCGTGGGCTGCGCGGGGAGTTTGGTAGAGTGGGTACTGCGGACCCATGGGAGGCAGGTAGCTGGAGTCGGCTGCGCTGTACGAGTAAGGGAACTGGACCGCGCGGGCGTAGGAGTCGCCGCCAGACGGGTTTTGAGAAGAGGACGCGACGGACATGAGGAGAATGAGAGACAGTTGGAGAGGATGAAGGGAAGTATAAAGGAGGAAGGTGGTGAGCGCAGCAGAGAGACGTGCGACAGTCGCGAGGAAGCCGTGCGGGCGGCGTTATATAGCTGAGCGCTGAGTCAGGGGCAGCGCGACAGCCGAGGCCCCGGAGCGCGCGGAGGCCCAGGCGATGACTCACTGCCGCCCACATGCCGAAACGCGTCGTCGCGTCAGTCACGTGCTGGCCGCGTTCCTTGTTATCACCCTCTCCACACAGACCAACCCAGAACTCTCCTACAGTCTCGCTATCCTGCTTCTCTTGACCACTCCAGATCGTCAGACGGCTAGATCTTGGTCATACAGTACAGTCTGCACTCGACCGCCGAAGTGGTGAGTGATGAGACCTGTAAACGTACAACAACGCGCTACTCGACCTACAGTCTCACCAGCACCGTCCCGAATCCCTGTAACACCTCCACCTTCTCCTGATGTGGGTCCCACCCGCATTCCTCGTTCCGATGCCGCAGCCGCGGGTCGCTCACCCCAATCGCTGCCGGCCTGTCCTCGCCCTTGCGCCCGCGCATCTGCTCCTCCGGGCTCGTCGAGCTGGGTGGCGTCTCATGGGATTCTCCATCGCCATCGCCATCACCGTCGTCCTCGTCCAGGTCCATCGCCTCCTCCACAGTCATGTGCACGCCCTCGTCCCCGTCCTCCAGGTCGTCGTGCGTGTCCGGCGTAGACGTGGACACCGACGCCCCGTTCGTCCCGTCCGATGTCGACGGCGGCTTGCGCCGTTGCCCTGCCTTCTCCAGCTTTCGCAGGATTTTGGCGATGTACTCCTTCGCGAACTTCTTGATCTTGGTCGTTTTCTCCTCCGACAGCGCGTCCAGCCGACCCTCCTTGTAGCTCGAGGACTTCTTCTCCTTCTCAGCAATCAGGTGCGTCAGCTGCAAAGCGTCAGCAGGGCCAGATACTCAGAAATAGGCGCGACCCGCGGCTCACCTCCTTCGCGTGCTTCTTGAATACGTCATGGTCCATCTGTTTCTGGTACTTGGACATGCACTTCACCACCACCGCACCGACCAGCTTCAGCAGCCGCTTCTCCTTGTTTGCCTCCTTCTCCTCCGAACTCTCCTTCCTGTGCGCGTGCCGGTGCCGTTTGCGCGCACCGGCGTCGCTCGTCTCTGCGGGTGTCTGGCTCGCCGACGCCGAAGCAGCGGCGGCAGCGGCAGATGCCGCAGCGATGATCGCAGCGATGTCCGCCCGCGAGGGCCCGGTGGGCCGCGCCACGGCCCCCGCGTTACCATCGAAAACTTCTTCGATGTGGTGCACAGGCTTGGTATACACCGCTGTACGCCCGAGCGGCCTGATGTGGAGGCTGGCGTCCTCGAGCAGCGCGTCGAATGGCTCCGCCTTGAACCGCTTTGCCGCACGCGTGTCCTCGCCGTCGTCTGCCGCGAGAACAATGACGGGTGGTGGGGAGGCCTCGTCGTCCTCCTGGGAAGGCCGTGTCAGTGCTCGTTTGGATAAAAGTGAGAGGTGCGTACCCCTTTCAGTCGCTTTGGGATGCGGTACGCGTATTCGAGCGTGTCCCACTGGGCTAGTAGCTGCAGGCAAGGCGGAAATATTAGTTTCAATTTCGAGGCGGTCAAGTAAGACTTTGACGGACGCACCTTCTTCGCCAGCTCCGCGAGCACCGCGTTCTCCGACTGCGCGCACGCCTGCACGGGCACATTTACCTTGGAGTCCTCGACCTTGTTCCGCTGGATCAGCGGCCAGGTCATCATACACTCGACCGCCTGCAAATTTCCAAGGTTATCAATTGTCGTTGCTTGGAGTTGAAAAATGCGCACCAAGGTGAGCATCTCCAGGTCGGTGCTGTAGTCCTCGAGGATGTTCGTCATCACGCTGAACCCGCGCAACCGCATGAGCTGGCGCAGCGGGGACTGGTCCTCCGTGAGCTGATTTCGGGGCGCGTGTCAGAAAAGGCAAGTTAAAAAAGAGGGGGACGGACCTTGACGCGCGTGAGCAGCTTGAAAAGCACCTTGCGGCTCTGCGTCTGGCGCATCGCCTGCACCACCTTCGGCACGTCCTTCTCCTGCAGCGGCTTTAGCGTGGGCTGCATTTGGGCCGGGATCGTGAGTTATCTGACAATGCGATCGGAGGACGGGACGCACGATAAAGTCCTCGTCGAGCTTCTTGCTCTTCCTCTTCTTGCTGCCCTTGAGGCCCAGGACGGCCACCTCTTCGGATATGCCGAGGGCTATGGCGTAGAGAGTTAGAAATTAGTATGGGTTGGAGATAGGTATGCGCGGGGGACGTACCGTCCAGATACAGATCGTCCATCGCTGCGATGTCAGTCTGTGTCTTCCCGCCGATGAAGCCGACGCAGTTCGGCTCGCCGCAGTAGCATGGTTGCGCATCATGTCTTTTTAACACATTTAATCAGCACTGCAGAGATTCGCGCACAAGCGAGCCGCCCGCGAAAGCACGGCAGCGGCGGGGAGGGCTCACCCATATCGGTCGACGTTGTAGTTGAAGGTCAGCTCCTCATCCTTCTTGATATTCCTGCTCGCGAAGATACCCATCCGGACGTGGGCACCTACTGTCCATTTGGCGACGTAGCAGTTTGGGCTGCAGCTGTGGTTCGCGAAGCGCCCGATCCCGCCGCGCTTCGTCGCATCGATGAACTATGATGGTAAAAAATGAAGTAAATTTGGGGATCGGATGCTGATGCGCCTGGCGGTGCGTTACCTCGTCTTTCTGGAGCATCATGAAGTAAAAGTGGCGAATGCCTTCTTCGGCATATTGGCGCATGCGCTTGAGGAAGGAGGGCTGGCTGACGACGTCGCCGATATACTCATAAATAAATGTGTCTCTGTCGTAGAAAATCGGAGAATAAAAGAAGAAGTGCTGAGTTGGCGGATCGCACAGGCCAGTGAGCGAAAGACGACGCACTTGATAAGGTCCTCGCCTGCGCGCAGGCCGAAGCCCTTCTTCTCCGTCAGTACGATGTCTATCGGGGCGTATTCCTGGCGCTGGAGCCTGCGACAACGACGCGCGGCCTCGCGTGAGCGCTAGTAGGTACAGCTATCTACGGTCAGCGACGCACCGCTGGTTTTGGCAGTATGACCGACAGCGGCAGTCGTCAGGGAGGCATTCCACCTGGGTGAGGCGGTTGATGCAGTCGGAGCCGTACCCGCACGCATCAGAGGGGCGGTCCACGCCTGCAGAGACAAGTGCCGCGCATCAGCATGACTCACCCATCAGCACTCGGCACATACTAATGCTACGCTACACGAAGAGGGGAGAGAGGTACCGACCGTGGTCGTACTGGCAGTCGCACGTCATGCTCTCGAGGGCTTCGCGCGAGCGGCCGAGCGTCCCGTACTGATAGTGGTTCCCGGGGAGCTCGACAAAGGTCTGCAGGGCCTCACGCTCCGCATGCGGGAGGTGGCCGATGAGCTGGGGCCCTGCGGGCTCGGGCTTGGTCTTGCCCCGCGAGGAGAGAGGCGGTGTGCGCGAGGGGCGGGCGTCGGACTTGGCGAAGGAGGCGTCCTGCACGGGCTCCCCCTGCTTGAGAGCGTCCATGTCGTCGTCGTCGTCCATGGCGTCCGCCTTGACGCTGTCGGCCCTGGCAAGCGGGGTATCTGTATCATCAACTTCGCTCTCACCGTCCTGATCCCACTTGGGTGATGGGGAGGTGCCCCGTCCTGCACTCGAGGGCGAGCGGGACATTATACGGTATGACTTGGAGAGGCGAGAGGATAGTCAGCAAAGTACTTATAGCAGGAGAGAGAGAGAACAAGAGAATACTGAAAGCAATAAGATAAGGTTTGGCTGTCCCTGGACCAGGAGAGCGTCCGTTGTGGCCAGGCGGTGGTGGGAGCTCGCAGCTCACGGATCGCCGCCGCGTCGGTCCTCCCACCCGCAATTTCCTTTCTGCGACATCTCCTCCCGCTCATGGCCTCCTCGTCCTCGAAAAAGCGCAAGCGCGGCGCAGACGATGCACACAAGGCCTCGCTCAAAATCTCGTCGCAGCCAGTGTCCCAGCTGGGCCCGGTACTCGGTGAGCGCGCTCTTTCCCCACTCGGCCCCAAATTGACACCACATCTGGCAGCGAGCTTCCCCGCCCTCCACCCGCCCGAATCCACCGCCTTTCAATGCTGGTCGAGAGACGAGAAAAAGAACAGCGATGAGCCGTTCGTTAACCGGCGAACGTTCGTCGGTGGAGAGGCCGACGCCGTCGAATTCAGCACCTCGCACGACTCCGAGCTCCAGCAGTCCGCCGCGGGATGCAGGTGCGTTCTTTTCTCTCCCATGTTTACTCACCAACGTTGACTTCGTCTAGCTATCTCATTGGCGTGCACGACAAACGTACAAACACGACGACGCTGCGGCCTGCTCCGCTGCACATCCTCGTCCGTCAGGTCAAGGCGCTCAAAAATCTCGCGCCCATGCAGATATCCTCCGAGGACCGCATGCACATGCGCAACCAGCTCGGCGAGACATTCGGCACCAAGCGCGCAAAGGCCGCCATACGTGCTCAGGAGCGCAACCGCGTCGACGTCGATGCCATGCGCGGCGTTGCCAGCCATCTGCAGGACACTATTCAGGAGAACACGGGCAGCTTGCCCACGCGTGGTGAGCCTTGTCTCTTTCTGATACCGTTTTCGCTGTGTAAACTATGGCTTGGTAGAGGAAGCGAAGGCCTCTGCAGACAGCAATCGCCTTATCCCTCCACATGATGCGAACGCGCAGCGTCCGGACGACGTCTACGCTATCCATGATATCATCCCAGACAACGAACTCAATGCGTTGTCCGTCTCTGCGTTCAAAGCGGCGGAGACCGACTTGCAGCGCGTGGCCCTTCTGCCCTACTCGAAGTCACACTGGGTCAATCAGCACCTTCGCCTCCTCTTCAGCGCACCCAAGCTCAAAAAGTCAGAAATGTGCGTGAACTTTCCTCTGACGGGTGCGTCGCTGCTCAGTGGGCTGTGATGTAGGAAGATCTTGCTATATATTTCCTCCATGTTCGCGTTCAAGACTGCTCAGAGGATAGTGAGCGACAAGGAGGCTCTGCAGAAGCGATTATCTTCCGTGCCTGGGCCTGTCCTCGATGGACTACTGTCACGCTTCACGGAAAGTGCGAGAAACACCAGCGTGTGCGTCAAACCGTCTGTTCTCTTTTTCCGCGCATTCACATCAATCGTGTGACAGAGTCCAGGTGACCACGCAATCCGAGACTATGCTTCTGACATACATGTTTGCGCTGTGTCTCCGCCTCGACGACTACGCGACCGACACGACACTCATCGCGCACGACCTGAGCATGCCCGTCACCAAGTGCGTACCCTCTCTTCGTTCCTCTGCTTTGCTCACGTGAGAACAGCGTCAACACACTTTTCAAGTCGCTTGGTGAGTCAGCCACCTGTATGACTAATTCCGCCCGCGCGTTGATGCTGATTTGCTGGATAGGCTGCAAAGTCGAGAAGCTGGGCCCGACGGAGCTCAAGTGGTTGGGTCTGCCGGACACCGCGGGGCAGACGAAGCGGGCGATTCTCAAGGTGCCGGTGGAGTTCCCTCAGGCGAGGAACAAACGCACAAGACGGTAGGGTGGAGTTTGGATGTGCGAAGAAATATTTGCATCGGGAGGCCATAAGGCACACGTCGAGGTCCAGATGTTGATTTACTATGCTTTGCAGGCGGACAGTCAGACAACGAGTCAATTACGTGCAGAGGCCGCCGACGGATAGGCGACGAAATACGGCGTCGATTTACCGTCGTTTACAGATAGACGACGACCCGGTGCAGATGTCCGACCGGTAGCCTGGAAGCTTCTAGCTAGCTTTGCGCGTACAGTACACGATTTCTTTGATTTATGGAGCTGCAATACAGGTGGATGTGTCTCAGTGGGCTCACAGTTTTCCCAGTGGTGCAAATGACGGATCCATGTTAATCAATTGAAGACTATTATAGTGACTCTTTCGAGCTCTGGCGTGGCCAGCTTCGTCATGCTACACAGTCCGCCTTGGTCACCTTGCTTGCATGTTTTCGTGTTTGGACTGACCTGAATGATGCGGACTCCGCAGGGATATATCTGTCTGAGATTCTGCGTCGAGTCCAGCTCTGCACGGTCCGTGGTGGTAACGAACCTATACCATATTGCCATCAGTCGACGGTAAGCCTCTCCGTGTTCGCGCGAAGGATTAGTTCATCTATGGATCCCGGTACCAAGCCAGGGTCGTGCGGAAGCCGAAGACATACGTGCATCGTATGATCTGGGTCCTCCCATTTCTTTGGCGCGTTTTCCGAGCTGTATAGCTTGCCTCGGATACTCACATCGTATATCCCGCATTCTCTGCGCCGTCGCATCAGCTCTTGGGAGCTTTCAGGTCATGGACAAGAACATTGGCCATCGTAGGATGGACCGCTCTAGGACTCCACACCCCTCACCGGAGATCGGAGGGTAAGAGAGACAAGGCGGAGCGTCTCGTGAACAACGAGGTGAAACTGGAAGCTACCGAAGACCAAAAAATCAATGACGAACCTTCCGAGGATAACCCAAATTAAAGATAAAACCAGAAGCTGCAGACAACGGCTTATTCAAGCTGGACGAGGCAAAGGTTGGGTTCAAGTTGGAGACTTGCGCATTCAAGAAATTTGAAGAGGACGATGCTCTTCCTGCCACGTCAGAGGTCAGCAGGTTGGAGCAGAAGCCGGAAATACTGAATAGCTCATTCAACCTTGATAATGAAAGAGTAGGCTTTACGTTGGAGGAGAGCGCCGTCAAAAAAAAACAGGAAGCGGATGATCCTTCTCCCATAGCCTCTGAAGATGTCAAGGTCGGTGTGAAGGCGGAAGACCTCTACGACGGTTTCTCTAGGCTTGAAGCTTGACGACGAACGCGTTGGCTTTACGTTGGAGTGCGCTGTCAGAAATCTCGATGAGGACATCTGTCTTGTTGGAGCGCCTGAGGAAGACGAGTTTAAGCTGGCCTATGACGATGGGTTTTCAAGGCTTGACAAAGAGTCGGCTTTACCTTGGATCATCTTGCTATTAAACTTCAGCAGGTGGATGCTGTTGTTCCTCTTCGAAATTCAAGAACATCGGTTGCCAGCAAACCGCACAGTCCGCAGTTGGTGAGCCATCTGCCTCGCGCTGAGTTCCAAGCTCTGCAAACATTCGTCGAGCTCCCGGACAACCATTATGAGAATGATTTCCCCGGCCGCTCTCGGGAGGCACTGGACTTGACATACGATTGCTGGTATCACCTAAGTGAGTGTTCTCTCTTCCACTATTGAAGCTCTTTGGAGACTAATCCCGAGGACTGTTCAGTGGGACTGGACCCTTCCTCGTGCCCGTGCGACCAGGGCTCTGATTGCATCGGCCGGCTCGCTCAGGTGGAATGTCTTCCTGGGGAATCCCCTGTGGACCAGACTGCCAGAATCAGCGGTACGTAGCTAGTTGTCAGTTCCAAATTCGTACTCACTGATCATTGTACTACCGTGCTGTCATTGAAGATTTTAACGCAAGGAGTACCCACTGTGGGGAGCCAATTTGTGTCGGGTTCATTGGACTAAAACCAGAAACTGACTACGCAACACTACGAGACCTTCACATTGATCCTGATGGTGCGTCATGCTTTGTATTGTCCAAATAAGTAATCAACTTTCCTTATGACTATGCTGTAATCCCAGCGCTTGAAGTATCTGGGGAAGTGACATATTGTGGTGCAAGCAATTCCGTCGACGACCTCAATGAGAATTTCATTGAGGATTTCAACGAGAACTTTGAAGAAAACTTCAACTTTGGTGAGAGCTACTATGTGATGCCTTGAATATTTCAAAATGTATGACAAAAACTGACTTTTGTCTCCCGGACTTCTAAGAAACTTCTGCGAGTGGGTGACGTGCCTACAGTCATACAAATTGTCACGCATATCATGCGTCACATACGAAATCGCGACGTTCTTTTTTAGCTATTAACATGTATAAAGGTATGTACGTCGCATCTTGCCGTTATGTACTAGGATGCGCTGTCCGTCGTCAGACCACCCAAAACCAAGTTGTGCTGCGTCAATTCATGCGATTACGGGGATTCAGCATGATGACGGACATACTTGAGGCTTTTAGTGGTGATATTCCGATCACGACTTTGGCGAGTTTCACCCATAGCAGCTTTCTATCGGGGCCATGGCTGACCATTGAGCAATTCCCCTAGGAAATTGAGTGCATGTTGAATTGGCCACTCCTGCATCGCAACAAGGTTGAAGACTCCAAAGTTTATGTACCGGTGCAAGCATGTTCCCATGCAAGGGATAGAAGCCTCGAGAAGTTATCGCAAAAAGTGAGTCTTCCGCGTCCTTGCGCGACGTGCTACATAGTGAAATCTTTCTGTAGCCTTTGGCTTCATGGGATGCATTAGAATATGCTCATCGGATTCCAAAGCGCGTACTCACAGAGCGTGAAGCGGATACAGATATTCTACCATCAAAGCGGCTGAAACCCGACCAGCCGAATATGCTTGAGGCGGAATTCCTCGTCAGGCCGCTTGGGCGCGGCAGTCTATAAACCGGTGCACATACACCACTCGGAAGAGCGTGATTTTGACTGTGTAGCCTCCCGCAAGGGGCCCTCGCTTGCAGATAGCGCGGCAGTCATCGCGGCCCCATTGGCGACAGTTCCACCCTCCAACCAGTTTGCCACATTGGTACCGCCTACAGCAGAGGACAGCATACTCGGTGGTTCAGCACATAAAGGATCCAGGGCGCACAAGAAGCTATCCTCTGACCAACAGGCTAATGAGGAGAAGCGGCTACTCGAGCTGATCGTAGACGTGGTTGTAAAATGTATGTCGGAGTATCGTAAGGCGATACTCCAAGACATCCTCAAAAAGCTTGCTGAAGAGGTGAGTTCACCGGGATTGATTCTGAAGGTGGGTCATTTAGCCCATAGTTGACACTTGCCATTGCGGAAGTGAAGAAGTGGAGGAGATATAAGCACGGGAAGTTGGATTCGCTGCCCCAGGAGAAAAGCGAGAACGTCAAGAAATTCGCGGAGGGGCGTATCGCGAAGGTGAGGAAGCTGAAAGTGGAGAAGGCGGGTGAGGAACGCCCTGCAGCGGCCCGGGACCCGGGTGGGGGACCCGTCCACCTCGGGTCCGTCGGGCTTCGATCCTTCGTCGGCAGAAAATATGAACGTCGGAGGCGAGTTAGAAGAATGTTGACGGAGGTTGGTCAGGACCTCGGAATATTGGCTGAGAACCCTTAGGCAAATTCGGACAAAGTTCGGCTCGAAATTGGCTCCAACCCTTGATCCAGTCCGGACATATGGGAGAAATTTTTTGGAAGCCTTATTTTTTTTCCAGACAGACAGAGGGTGTCCAGCCCTAACCCTTATCCACTTATAGGGCGCTTGTGGCCCATATCCATCTGGGTTCACCTATATTTGGGAATTTGGTGCCCACAAACATAGTTTTCCAGGATTCTCAGCAGCCCTGTGATGTGTGACTACGGTAATGTATACTCTGTATCCGTACAATGTGCTCCCATGTGGGCCGAAGGGGCGCCGTTGAGGCTGATACTGGTCTTAAGACACGTTGGAATCATTTAGACATTTCTTTGTGCTACCAGTAGTGTTGAATGTATGAAGTTGACTATGGTTGTGCTCAATACCGGCCTTATCACAGCTTGCAATGATGTTTTGGAGCTTCTGCTGCTGCGTCAGGACAAAAATTACTGTTTTTTGAAGCCTTATCCCGGCATCCGGACTAAAAATGAGTTTGGAGGACCCTCATCCGCCATCCGGACAAAATTTTCGAAAAAGTGCCGAACCCTCGTTCAAATCGGACAAAAACGTCGGATTTGGCATCTCGGCGCTTAGACATTTTTGCCTCCGCTGGATAAGGGTTGCTGGCCTATTTTCCGAGGTCCTGGTTGGTCATGAGCACTGTTCCTATGTGAGTAGTACGAACAAGTAGGAATGGCATAGACAAACTGGCGTTTGGAAATACTTTGTAGCGTGCAATTGTTGGGGGGCAGGATTTGAATCGGTAACACCCACCTCTTTTCTCGTTTCAGCCTGTTGGAAAGTAGTGCCCAAATTTCTGGAGCTCCAGAAATTGGGGAGCGCCCAAGGGCAGACAAGCCGAGGGCATGATTACAAAGAAAGACAAAGAAGGAAATTTGCTTATATAAAGTGGAGCGTCTAGAACTGTATATATACAGAAATCTATTTTAGGACGCATAATCACGCGCCCCGACGCATCTTGACCCGCCATCACTACCTTCCTATTTGGGAACTAAGGCGCAATTTCTAACAGATTATGAGCCCCGGCTCTAGCCAATAAATACTTGGATAACAACAGCCCCTATTGTGGCTACAAAAATTGTTACCCCCTTACTAGTACGAGAACAAATAATGTCGACCAGCGCTGATAATACGAGCAATAGCAATGCTTACCGGATCCCGCTCCTGAAGGAAGACAATTGGCTCCCATGGAAGCGCCGCGTCGAGGCCATCCTTAATGATAAGGGTCTCCAGGAGTATGTGACCGGAAAGACACTGAAGCCGCAGCCGAGTAATGACCCGGCCAATAGGGCAGCGAGAGAGGCGGAGATTAGCGCCTGGGGAGAGAAGGACCTCAAGGCCCAGAACGTAATTGTGCTATCGCTGGGAGATTCCCAGATGGTGCACATCGCTGGAGCCAAGACGGCATGGGCCATGTGGGAGCAGCTTCGCACAGTCAAGGAACAGCGTGGACAGCATGGAATTCTCGCGCTGTGCTGGCGTTTTTACCGGATGCAAGCCAAGGAAGAAGATAATATCTCCAGTCACATTACACAGCTACGACAGATCCAGGAACAACTCCACCTAATGAGGAAGGTTGTTTCTGATGAGGATTTCCGGCTCATTCTGGCTACCTCATTACTGGAGAGCTGGGACTCTTTCCTCAGCTCTTACTTTGGTGCCGAAGGTGCTGACAACGTGCACCCTCAGCTTACATCACAAGAATTGATTGCCATCATTCTTGATGAAAATAGGCGAAGGCACGAGCGTGGCGAGCGCGGTCAATCCTCGGACCAAGCCATGGTTGCCAAAGGAAAGAAGCGCCCCTTTGGGGAATACAAAAAATGTTCGATCTGCGGAAAGCCGAGACATCTTGGTAATGAGTGTCGGCACCGCGACAAGGTCAAATGTATGAATTGCGGAAAATTCGGGCATAAGGCCACGGATTGTTGGGCTAAAGGCGGCGGCAAAGCCGGACAGGGCCCGCCGATGAAACAGCAAAAGACGGAATGTGCTTACGAAGCGCACGAGGTCGAATCGAAAGAGGATGAGGCAAAAATAGCCTACGATAATGATAGCGACACTGTATCTCTCGGATCTGATGGCAAAATCGCTTCTTTCTATGAGTGGTTTGCCGACTCCGGGACAACTTCGCACATTACAAATCGTCGTGAAGTCTTCACGACCTATCAGGCGCTCGAAGATCACGCGATCACGGGCATCGGACCACAACCAATGCAGGCATTGGGCCGCAGTACGGTCGATGTCAAAAGTGAAGTAGGAGACCGGAAAGTGAAATTCCGTCTCCACGGTGTACTGTATGCGCTGACAGCACCCAATAGCCTCCTCTCCATCATGCATTTGGACGATGCGGGAGGAAGAGTACTTATGGGTAATAGTCGCGCAATACTAATAGATAAAAATAAACACACTCTTGCTATAGGCAAGAAAAATGGACGACTATATTCATTGAAATTGCGTCCAATAGTTCCGCAACCTGCGCGAACCTATACTGCTAAGGAATATGGCCCGCATACCTGGAAAGAGTGGCACAAGATCTATGGCCATATCGGGAAACCAGCGCTTATGCGATTATATCGCGAAGGGCTTGTTGATGGCCTAGAAATCTCGCCAAGCCCAGATGAAATTAATTGTGAGGCGTGCATCCAAGCAAAGGCGACGTGGAAGCCATTTCCCAAAGAGACGGACGAATGCAGCAAGGTACCCGAAGAATTAACACACACAGATGTGTGGGGACCTGCGCAGACAGCCGCTCTACAAGGGTGGAAATATTTTATTACATTTACCGATGATTACAGTCGTCGAAGTACAGTACTATTTATGAGGCATAAAGATGAAGTAACAGAAAAGGTAAAGAATTATATTACCTATATTGAGCGCAAGTTTGGAAATAAACCCTTGCGACTCAGGCTCGACAACGGTCGAGAATATATGAACACCGAATTAATTAACTGGTGTCAAATGAAAGGGATTGAGATGGGTCCGACTGCGCTGTACTCACCATCCCAGAACGGAGTCTCTGAGAGATTGAATCGCACACTGCTTGGACTAGCGTGTGCGATGATCTATGTGAGAGATCTACCTTGTTATCTTTGGGCTGAAGCGATTGCTCACGCAGTCTATATTAAAAATAGATCGCCTACCCAGGCGTTAAATGGGGCAACTCCCGAAGAAAAATGGAATGGGATGAAACCAAATATCTCATACCTACAAGAATTTGGTTCCCTCATATGGGTCCTCACGGAAGATGCAACACTATCAAAGCTAGCGCCCTGTGCCAACAAGTATATTTTTGTTGGATACATGGATGGACCCAAAGCCATCAAATATTATGATGCGCACACGCGCCAGATTAAAATCTCGCATAATTTCCAATTTTCTTCGAATTCCCCGGACCATTTGCCCGGCAACGTGCCTCACGTGCCACAAGAGCAAATAGGATCCGACGTACCTATCCTCACAGCACAGCGTGAGGGGGAGCAAAATATATTTCCGGGCACTTTACCTAGCAATGCGTCAGATGTGCCACATGCGGAAAGGAGACCCGAAGTCCCAAACCTCACAACGACCACAGACGTGCAGCGCGAGGGGGAGTTAGGAACTTCCGCGCCACAGTCACCTGCCAAAAATCCGCGAAAGCGCAGACAGGATAATGATCCTGATCAACGCGAGGAAAGCGGGACGGACGCACCAAGCCAGCCCAGATGAACCAGAAGAAAGACAGTTTGGCATGATTACCGTCTAATGCACGACCCAGAGGCAGACGAAGATCTGGATAATGATCCAGATAAATCAAATGCCAAATTAGTCTATATTGCGATGAGCGCCCACGGAAATGCGGATGCGGACGAGCCAAAGACACTCAGTGATGCCAAGAGATCACTCGAGTGGCCCAAATGGGAACAGGCAGTCCAGACGGAACTCAATCAACTACAGGGTATGGAGACTTGGGAGTTAGTGGAACCTCCCGAAGATCGAAAACCCATAGGAAATAAATGGGTTCTAGTTAAGAAAACAAACAAAGAGGGTGAAATAATCAAATACAAAGCCCGCCTGGTTGCAAAGGGATATTCTCAAATCCCAGGCATGGACTATACCGAGACGTTCGCGCCCGTAGTCCACCTCGAAACCATTCGAGCTATCCTCGGGCTAGCCGCAATCTTAGATTGGGAGATCGGACAGATGGACGTGAAAGGTGCCTATCTTAATGGAACTCTCAAAGAAGAAGTGTATATGCGGCAACCCAAAGGATACAACGATGGAACATACCGCGTATGTAAATTAAAGAAAACCCTCTACAGGCTAAAGCAGTCTGGCCGAGAATGGAATATCGTGCTGAACCGCAAGTTACTAGACGCGGGATTCAAGCACCTATTCTCGGATCCATGTGTGTACATTCGGATCAAAGGTGATAAGATAGAAATCGTCACCGTTTGGGTAGACGACCTATTAATATTCACCAATGATTGCGCACTAATGGACCAATTGAAGAGGGAACTCCGAAATATGTTCGAAGTTACCGACCTTGGTGAACCCCAAAAAATTGTGGGGATAGAAATTGAGAGAGACCGTTCAAAGCAGACAATCAAAATCTCTCAGACAAAATATATTGAGTCTATCCTACACAAGAATGGGCTTACGAACGCCAACACGGTCGGGATGCCTCTTGATCCAAATACAGTGCTTGAAAAAGAAGAACCCGAAACTGATGATGAATGCGACCGAGACAACGGATATGCATCGCTCATCGGATCACTGATGTACACGGCAATTGCCATGAGACCAGACATTGCTCACACCGTGCAACGGCTTAGCTCATTTACTGCCAATCCCGGAATGGCTCATTGGACTGCTGCTAAATGCGTCCTCCGCTATCTATCCGGAATGCGAGAACTTGGAATAATCTACGGGCCAATTGCAGATGTCAAGCCCAAAGATCAATCCATATTTGTGGGCTACTCAGATGCAGACTATGCGAACGATATCCGAGATCGCAAATCAATCTCGGGATATTTATTTAAATTAGGAAATGGCATGATCACATGGAGCTCAAAGAAGCAAACCACGGTCGCGTCATCCACCACGGAAGCCGAATACATGGCATCCGCCGAAGCGGCAAAAGAAGCCATGTGGCTCCAAACACTATTCAAAGAAATAGGTTTCGAGCAACAAGATCCTACAATTTTATTCGAGGATAATACAGTGGCGATCTCAATTGCACGTGATCCCCAATTCCACGCGAAATCAAAACATTTTGATGTAAAGCATCATTATGTGTGCGAAAAATTGAGGGATAAATATATTGATATCCACTACTGTCCCACGGAGGACATGATAGCGGATATCCTAACAAAGTCACTCCCTAAGCCGAGGCACGAGAAGCTCACAAAGAAGCTCGGAATGCCCATCGGCTTGAGGGGGAGTGTTGAAAAGTAGCGCCCAAATTTCTGGAGCTCCAGAAATTGGGGAGCGCCCAAGGGCAGACAAGCCGAGGGCATGATTACAAAGAAAGACAAAGAAAGAAATTTGCTTATATAAAGTGGAGCGTCTAGAACTGTATATATACAGAAATCTATTTTAGGACGCATAATCACGCGCCCCGACGCATCTTGACCCGCCATCACTACCTTCCTATTTGGGAACTAAGGCGTGATTTCTAACACTTAAAGTAAATTTTCGCAAGAATGGGAGAGGGAGAGGGAAAATTGGCACCCGCCGTAAGCCTTGTCAGTCCCACCCGACGCGTCCTGTTCACGTACATAGAGTGTACCGAGCTCCTGTGTAATCGGTAAGCCCCGAATCAACTTACAATTTCGCAGCGAGGCCTCTGCTAGGGGAGGCCGCACTTTACTCACTTTCAGAAAGAGACTGCAAGCGCGGCTCCCCATCAAAGCCGGCCGGCTGTCAACGGTCTCCCTTGCACAGAAACCAGGTTGCTGAGCAGCTTAAGGGGGTTTCTGGGGTTTCCGGGTTTCTGGGGGTTTCTCAATAGAATTATCCCATTTTTTTGCCCGAATTTTGTCCGGATTGCGAAACGGCATCCTCGCCAATATTCAGGGGTCCTTTAAATTTTAAGAGCCTGATCCATATCTGCCTTTGCATCCGACCGTGCTCCGTGCTCCTGTCCGACCTCCGACATATGCTCCCGTCAGCTCCCGCGTCTACTTATTAAAAGGGGCGCGATCCCCACTGAATCGCTCTTAAGAATTGTCTCTCAACCACCATGTCTTCCACCTGCAACTCAGAAGATGTCCCGCACAAGCTCAATGTTAATAGCTCAGTTGGTCGGCGTTACCCCCGATATGTGCATTGGTTCCGTCAGTATTTGCCTCATACGAACTGCGGCAGCTGTTCATGTGATGTGGACTGGGCATACAAGTGCGTTTTAACTGTGTGTCCGGCTGACTTTCCACATCGATGATGTATATACATGGATAGACGAATTACAGTTCGTTTATGGGACTACTTTCTCTCAGAAACGTATTCCGAATATGTTTATATCCTTGACAAAGATGGTTACTTAGACTACGCAGTATTGGCACGTGACTTGGGTGTGGAAGAACTTTTGGTATCTCTCAATCTATTCCCATTCACCTTGCACTTACCGTCTGCTTAGGCGGTAGCCACACGATGTGTGACAGCGTGCCACTTCTGTACTCGTAGGTCTACGCGTGAACGAGCTGTAAGCACGAAAGCCAAGATGGAAGGGAAATCTTACTTGACAGTAGTTGGTCAGCGTTGTCTTTTTCCATGTATTGTTGTTGCGACATCACTTCATTCGGCATCGGTTCTAGAAAATCCTCGCGGCCTCAACAAGATTTTACGAGAAATACCACGGCAGGAGGTGTCTTTGAGGATGATTCGCGTGCGTTGGTACCCCACCCCTGGCTCGACATTCGAAGAGACAGTCGAGCCGTTGGATAAGTATGGCCGCCTATCTCTTGGCCAAATCGCTCGTCGACACAGTATTGCAAATGTTCACGTCTTTAATCCTCGGAACAAGAAGCGCTTCATTACCGACCGCATGCGAGCTCTATTCTATGATGAATTCGAAAAGGTCATGTTTCCCCATGGTTTTATTGCGCTCACTGGTATGTACCATGGTGGCTCTCTTTTTTTTCTCACAGCGGAAACGGTCACAGATGCCGCTGTCCCTATGAAACCGGAAGGCCAAGGTTGGATTTTTTGCTTACTCCTCGGTTGTCGCTCTCAATCTCCTTCGACCTGTTAGTCATATGCTACGAGCTATCTCAAGCGTGGAACAGGTTGACCCGTATCTTTGGCACTGCGACCAAGATGCCAAAGGCAAGCCAAACATATTATTTGCCTCAGTCTGAGTAAGTTCGCTGTCCAATTTATCACCCTGCTAAGAACTCAATCGTGGCAGTGTTACAAGGGAAGTGAACGAGAATAAAGATAAATCGTACTGTTCGGACCATGCTCGTCAGAGCGGAGGAATTGATTCATACCCAGTAAGCCAAGTCTACGTAATTTGTAACGGTCAATTCCCCCTGTTTCTCACACTTGTCTCTCCAAAATTTGCTTCTAGGGACTCCACAGAAAAGTCGAAGGATGTTTCGCCAATCCCACACCCGCTCGGTACTTCTTACCATCGATCTCAGCGAAAGAAACCCGACTTGCAGCGGAGGGATCCAGAATGGGCATATAGCCTAAAGAGACATCCGAATTGCCCCAACTGTATTTGTGGGTCAAGATGGGCAAACAAGTAGGTTTGAATGTATTGTCAACTCGTTCTAGTCTTCACCATCATCTCTCAGGCGAATCACTATTCGTCTCTGCGATTATTTCCTCTCAGAAACCTACTCCGAGTTCGAACACACACTTGACAAAGATGGTGTTTTAGATTATGAAGAGTTAGCGCATAACTTGGGCGTTACGGAATTGATGGTATCCAGAGTTATCTCCTTGTCTACCCACCACTCACCTACTTCACAGCCGGTCCCAGTGCGGAGTGTCAAAGATGGCTTTGGTCAAATTTATCCCTCGACAATCCACGAACCGCCTAGGATCACCAGGTCCATGATGGAGGGAAGGAAGTACTTGATTGTCGTGGGTAAGTGTATTCCACTCATGTCGTAAGGTGGATTGAGTATACAGCAACACTCCTTATGAAATCCAGAGAACTCTCGTGATGTGGGTAAGCTGCAGCGTACTGTTCCGCAGAACGAGGTCTCAGTACGGTCAATGCGCGTGCGATGGTATTCTACCCCCGGCACGGGTTACGAAGAAAGTGTCGAGCCCCTGGACAAGTACGGCCGCCTCTCTCTTGGGCAGATCGCTCGTCAGCGTGGGGTTGCGAACGTCCATGTTTTCGATCCTAAGGACAACAAACGATTCGCGACCGATCGCAGGCGCGCCCTATTTTTCGACGAGTTCGCAGGCATCGTGGATCCTGATGGTTATTTGGCTCTCACTGGTGTGGTTGCATTTGGCCGAAATGTTCTCACTTAAGTCATTTTGCATCCCAGATGCCGCGGTAGCTATGCGCACCAAGAAACCACGTGGAGGTTATTATCCTAGCGCTCTCTCCCTTTTAGTTGGGCCACTGATATGTGACGTTCGATAGTGTCGTCTGTGGACACTGGAGAACGCTTGACGCGACAAATCCGCCCTGTAAACTGGCTTCTTCGCACAATGTTTCGGAGGCCGAGCAAGATGAGAACTCCCAGAAAAGCAAAGATGGACTATGACACTTGTCGTGTGTAAGCGAGATAGCAATAACACACGCGAATCAAGGCGACGACATAGTGAAGAAACATCCTCAACGGAACGACCAATGTTGGTGACTTCGGAGCGTTCGTATCATTGTCCCGGAAGACTGTCTGCTTGAGTTCTACCACACTTCCGAACTATCCTCGTAGTTGGCTGGGCTCGCTGAGAGGAAACGTGATGTATTGCAGTATATCACAGCGAACGAATGTATCCATTTCTATGATGATCGTAATAATAATTCACGCACGCATGGTATATAATGTATAGATTATGGCAAAGAAACAGTCCCATCAGAGTCGGTGCTCTGCCGCCGTGCTATTCGTTCCTCGACGGCCCTGCATTCTGAGAGCAGCTTGATGACAGCTGGTCGTCCGTTGGCGTTTCGGATGAATGGCATCTGAGTGGTCACATAGGAAAAAAATAAGCTCGTCCCTTTGGGATATACAAAAAAGAGCATACCTTCGACAGTGTGTCTGGATCTGGTCGTAACGAGTTAGGTTGAGAACATTGATGCAAAAAATCGTGAAAAGATCGTGAATATATTTCGGGCTGGCGTAACGGAGGCCATCGATCGGCCAGCTGTCGAGGGTCCTCAATCCCAAAGAATGGCGGCTCCGCCTCGGCCATCTCCCAGACAGTCGCACCCAGTGACCAGACATCAACCTTCAAGGCGTTGTATGATCCCCTGAGAAAACTGAAAGTCAGGAGAGATCCACATCCTAGAGAATGCGTCGCGCACCTTCTTATTTCAGGTGGCTGGATGAAACGAAGGATCACTCATCGACACATTCCACAGAACGAGTAGAAAATGTATCGCACCTGCCAATAAATAACACCCGCTAGATCAGTGCGCATTGGCTGATCCCTCGAAACTTGCACGGCACTCGAGAAGTCCGCTGTGCGGAGAACCCGTGTCAAAAGCGAGGACACTACCACCAGGACCAAAACGTACCAATCTTCACCACGCCGTCTCTGCCAACGAGAAGGTTGTCCGAACGCAAATCCCTGTGCGCGATGCCCAGTGATTGCAGGAAGCTCAGCGCCGACAACACCTGATCGAGACTATCAGAACACGTCATACTACAATATCGAGGGCAGGACGTACGTCGCTGGCGAACTGAGCTATCGGCTTCTCCTGCACGACAATACCCTCTGCCACAAGCACCACCACGTCCGCCAAACTACGCTCCATGAGGTCCATCCGCAACCAGAGCGAGTCCTCCACGACGTCCACATACCCCGCATCCATCGACAATATGTGCGGGTGCCTGACGCCCTTCATTAGCGTTAGTTCACGCTGCAGGTCCTCCAGCTTCGGCACACCAGATGGCAGGAGGGGGATGTTTTTAATCGCGACATACGGCGGCTCGCCCGGGCTAGAGGCAAGGACGCGCGCGGCGTACACCGATCCACTGCTACCCTCACCGATTTCCTGCAGATCCGTGTAAAGCTCACGCGGGTCCGACGCCTCGTCGATGAAGTCCTGTAGGGGCGCCACGACCTCCGATACCCACCCAGGGTACCGTGGCGCCGGGGTCGCAGGCGACGCGACGCTCGCTGCGTTCGGTGTCCACACAGGCGACGGCGGCGTAGCGACGGCGACAGACGGTCTTCGCGTCACCTTGTCGCCGATCACGCCATCGTCATCTTCCACGGCCGTGATAGAGATCTCGCCCGGGACGAACGCCGCCCCATCCGGCTTCGCCAACCTGCCGGGAGCCCAGTCCTTTTCTGAGGGTGTGGCTACGTGCCTACATGAGGTGGACGAAGAGGACTCGCTGCCGGAGACGACGGTCGACACTGACATGGTCATTGACACACTCGACCCGCTCGAACGTGACTTCGAGCTGTTGGGTGTGGGAGAGCGCGCTGCAGTCGCGTCCTCCGCATCTTCCGCGCCCATCGATGCGGCCAGTGTGGACTGGCTCTCATCAACGACGGGCGAAGCCACTGGCGACGGGACCATGTTCGCTCGCGCACTCCGTGCGACGGCGGCACAGACGATGGTAGCGGGCCCGATGGTCATCGTGGAAAGGTCCGAATCTCGGTTGTCCTTCTCGCGTGCGGCGCCCATTTCGTCCGTGTGGAGATTATCTGTGCTATGTTCCCGGAGGAGCCTGGGCTTGGGGGGCGTGATAGGGGTGACTGGTGTTGCGAAGGAGGTGGTGAGAGGAGACGACCTGGGCGCTGAACTGGGCGTCAACGCTGGTTCAGTCGGTGTGCGGACCATGTCCATGACCTCGTGCCATAGCGGGTTCGTCGTGTTCGCGGAGGATGGTGGAGTGTTGGAGGTTGAGGGGGCCGCTATAGTACGGCTGGGTAGCTGATGCAGGGGTATCGGCTTTTGTGGGGGTATCGTGCGTTCGAGGGAGAACGAACGCGCCGCCGCGCCGCTCTTCGCTGAAGAATACGGTGCTGGGGGACTGATAGGATTAGATGATATTGAGATGGTCGGTATTGGCTGGAAAGTATGTGAGAGTGGCTCCTCGGAGACGGCGGATGGGATGGAAGAAAAGAGCGACTCTGTCCAGCTTGATAGATCACTCAAAGTGTCCTTATCCAACGAGAGACGTGGAGGTGCAGCTGACCGCGCGGATGACGAGGCCTCCAGTGTGTCTTTCTCCTCAAAGTTGCGCTGTTCGCTGTGCCCTGCTTTCTTCTCTCGTGGATACGAGGTCGACGCAACAGGATGCGTATCTTCGTTGATACCATCCAGATGCGTGCTCTTCTTGACAGAATTGTACGCTGGAGGAGGAGAGGACTGGGTGTCCAGAGAGCCATTCGCCACATGGAACGCTCGTCTCGGAGGCGTTCGCTGTGCAGAATTCCTCGTGTGGGTGGACTCTCTTGCAGAGGCAGAATCGGACGAGGTGTCCGGTGGTGGTGCTTGGACCGGCGTCATTGTTCGTCTTGTGAACTGAGGGGGGGTACGAGCCATCACATCAGGCGGAATAACTTCGAAGGAAGAAGCTTCGGAATACTGCCGCGAGGCGCCCGACGCGTTGCGCGAATGAGTACGCGACGCGCTGTTTATCAACAGAGAAGGCTGCGATGCAGAGGCGTCGGAACGAGGGGGGGAAGTCGCGCGAGGGAGATGGTGCACCGACGAGTATGTGGCGCTGGCGGAGTCTGAGTTACCCGCTCTACTCAACAAATATATAGACTGCGTATGAGGTGAGCGAGCTGCAGCGCGTCGGGAATTGATGGTTGCAATCTCTTCTGGGCTGTATCCCAGGTTGGCTAGAGATGCTGACCATGTCGGCGGCAGACCAAAGTAGCTGGAATGCAACATTGAGCCGGGTGCAGACATCATACATTTTGGACATACCCTTCGTCTACATGCAAATTATGCTAAAAAAAAACGTATGAGAAAGCGTACAGGTCTGGATCGACGCGTCTCTTACCTGGAAGTTCCACGGCATCGAGATAGAAGGGTCTCCATTCGGGTCCGGCGGTGGTGCATCTGCGCTCGCAGATTCGGTCGACTTCGGTGTCTTGGGGCGTTTCACAAGAGATGCAAACTTGAACAACCCTCTGCGAGAGCCTGCAGAGTCGGGGGAAAGCGATGAGGAGGAGGATGGAGGAGACATTGTCACGCGACTGGGAGCATAGGATGGGCTGGGGGAGGGGCTTCTGACGAGGCCCATATACCTAGGGGAAATAGGAGTACTAGGATGAGAAGACGAGGAGTCCGGGGAGAGAGTGTGGTTGAGGGAGGGCAGAGAAGGATTGGGCTGATAGTATGTGTCCTTGGGCGGGAGGGGGGGCGGTTTGGACACGGCGGGGAACTTGAAGACCTTGAGGGTGGAGAACCTTGAATTCTGCCTGCTGGAGGATGTAGCCATCGGTGTCGACGAGAGAAATCTCGCTCGCCGAGCACTGTCGAAGAACGAGCGAAGGACAGAGCGCTGTGAACAAGAGCGTCTGGGCCAGAGCGCCGTTCACAATTGCAGTTCGCCCAAGTTCACCTCGCTTAGCACTCACTAGCACTATTAGCTCATACAACCGAATTTCAAACTCAGACTGTAGTAAAATAAGATACTTCCTTACTTGACTACAGACTTGCCTGCCCGACAACGCTGTGACACCTGCCTGTCTCCGCGCTAGCCAGCCAGCCATACTCTCAACTTGTGATTCACGGTCTTCTTAGAGCCGGCTCTTACCAGTGCGGCCTGCACCGCTAATTCTAGCGGTTACTTATAACCCAGTGTTTCGGGTGCTCCAGTAGATCTCTCGCGTCATAACCAGTCACTACTAGTACCAAGGTAGAACGCCTCGGACAGATCCCATCAAAGCCGTTCTGTCTTCCACCAAATTCCATCGTGTATCTACCGCTGAAACCAGGCCGGGCGGGTTTCAGACGATGTCATTGCCACAGGTGTATACTGACCGCCATTTGGATCTCCCAGATCTGCCATCTATGGTATCAGCCACCGCCTGGACGAACTCTGCGGCTGAGCACTACTTTGGCAGATCAATCATGACCTGTGCCACCTTGCTACTAGACGCGGTTCATCCACAGCCATGTCGGAGCTGAAGTGGTGCGCCATGTGGAGATTACTGAATTTCGCTCAGCCCATCCCGCGCTCTTTCTCGTTTCACGTAGAATGCAAATTGTGATCGTAAGTCCACGGGAGTCTCAGGTCGTTCGGGGTGACGCTCGGCGAAGCGTGCACCGCTTCGCTCCACTCCGAGTCGGTCACCGTCGACTAACGTGCGACACTTTTCCCGACCGGAACCTCTCACTATAAATCGTTCGTCGTATTTACAATTACTTCAGAGCACCCCGGAGCCCTGAGCTTGTCCCCCTCCCCTTAGACAAGGTAGCACCTCATTATCTGCGGTCGCGCTGACTTGCTCCACATGGCGGGTGCTGGGCACTGAGCGCTGAAGATCTCCGCCTCCATTCCGCCACACCGCGCGGAACGCGGCTGCGCCAACACAGTCGGCGCTCTCATCGAAACGCTCTCTTCCGGCTTTCATGAGCGCCCTAGGACGTTTACGCACATCTTCCCCATATAGACTTATCAGTACTTCAACGAACATTATACAACAAAAAATATAGTAGGTCAACAAAGCACAATCACAGCGCTGCAAATTCGGATACGGATAGCAGATCGAGGACACATTAGTGCGGCGAGTAGTGGCGTAGTAAACGTACAAGTACAAACAAGACATCGAGCTCTGTGAGCTTACAGTCCTATGCTTCCGTGCGGTCGCCTGTATTTGTCGCCGCGAGAGCGTTTTGCAGACCTTCCGGCTGCAAGTGCAGATCAGCAGCTCAGAACCGTTTGCCATACCAGATAGAATTTACGACGCACCCTCGCCACGAACCCGTCCTCTACGGCGGAGACCGCATCCCTATCCTCACCAGAACAAAGATCCAGCGTCCGATCCGTCGTCATCGTGGTGACCACACGCACGCCGCCCAACGATAGTTGCGTCTGCACGAAACCACCACCCTAAACATCAGCAGAAACATGACACGAGGACCACCTACCGAGGCATCTGTTCCCTTCGTGCTCCAGCCCCCAAAGTTGAATGTCGGCAACGAGCGTTCGCGAGTCGCACCATTGCCGGAGGCACGCCAGCCCGATATATCCGTCTCGTCGTCGTTGACGCCGCGGCCGCGGATCACCTTCCTGTAGTTCAGGCTGGAATGCGGGAAAACCAGAGCGTCGGGAAATTCAGCATGTGAGCAGGATGTGACCGAAGAATTCGGAGACGACCTACGTTGCGAGGAGGGCGTTGATGTACACTATGCTCCAGGGGCATTCGGGTCAGATGTGGAAGGGAGCAGCCAGTTGAGCACTACGTACGCTTGCTGAGAATGATGTACACCGCAAAGTAGACCAGGTCGTGCAGTGCTATGAACTGCCCGGACCGGGATTATAAGTTCAGTGATGCCACCCAATCAGCAGATCGGGGTGCGTACGAGGATGATGACCGAAACAGAAACAATGCTACATGGACACATCAGTGATTTGATTCATCACAGGGGAAGACGCAAGGATCTCTCTCACCTGGTCAGCAAACCGTTGTTCACCGACCATAACATGAGCTCATTCAAGAACTAGGAGATTCTACATGGTCAATATCCACCGAGAAGCATCCTCAGTGGCACTTACACTATCCGTTCTGCAAGTAGCATATCGTCACGGCTACGCGGCGGAGCGGTAATACGATATGCACGTACCTTCTACAACCGCGAGACATCGCCCGAATCATTTAGCGGACTTATGAGTGCGGAGAATACAACTCACGTGTTGAAACCCGTCCGATGACTCCTGAGGAAGAACACTAAGGAGCCGGCGACGAGACAATCTATGAGCGTGCTGAGGCCCAATGCTGAACCGATAAGAGGCTGATATCACGATAATGAGATGTCAAAATCGCCATTCTAGCAGGTAGAAAGCGGCAGAAACTTACACCGAGATGTTGCGCGGCAGCGTCGAAGGACGGGTTCACGAAGCTGGGAAAAAATTGCCATACCTAAGATGCTAGCCATCAGAGTGCAATCGAGACGTACAATGACATCGCGACCACTGTAAGCCAAAATAAATTGTAAGCGGAAAAACTAAATTTTGAAATTTGTAGACTCACTCATACCAAGGACTGTGATAATTAACAGACGTGAGCATGTGAATGGTAGACAAGCAACAGCGGTAAACAGCATACCCATTCTCGGTATTGCTAGCGTAATCTGATCAACAAAGACCAAAAGGCGAGCACAGGATTAAGCAGTCAGTGGGGGGTAGTAAAAAGAGTCTAAAACGACGTACGGCCAATATCATCAGGAACCAATTGCGGTTTCCCACTGGGTCCGCCGTCAGAGACGCAATGGAAACTCGTGACGGACGGCTTACACAGGAACATTCGGCGTGCATAGAAACTGAAATTTAATAGTAACCATGAGCCTCAACAAACAGCAGGTAGAGAAAAACTGACCATTGTACGATCACGGATATGAAAACCTAAGAAAAAAAAAGTTCAGACCTTCGCGAACGGAAAATTTGATTTCCCAGTTCAAATAACTTACGGTCATAACAACGGAGATCTACCCTCAAGAAGAATCAGCACACGGGCGCATGCGACCGTTAAACAGAACCAGCTGGAAACTCACGTCGAAGCTCCTAAATTTTCAAGACGTTCAGCAAGAACAGTACACCCGCCGAATCGGAGCGCTCACCATGGTGCCGCCTCCAGAGCAGGTGAGTTATTATAGTTGAGGATCAGGAAGTAGTACATCATGTGCCAGCAGAGGGCGACATGAAGGGTGTCAAAACCGCTTTCCGTGCAGAAGTGAGCACAAGGCCGCCATCCGGAGATTGTTGCGTCGGGGAGACGTGGTACTTACAGGAGCAGATACACCTAACGGCAAGGCGAGACGAAGATGAATACGCACTGGCATCGACCGATTGAATGCGGAAAGGACACTTACGGTCACTCGGATAAGCCAATGGTCATTGGGAAAATTCTTGATGTATAGGAACGTCTGTACCGTAGTGATACCGAACCCCCTGGCGAACAAGCGATTAATAAGAGTCTACGTGCAAAGACATTGTAGAAGGTCATTACACAGAACCAAGAAGTACACCGAGCAGGAGTGCCCCCATCGTTGAGTTGATGCCACCCGACATCGTGGTTAGTCCAGTACACGCGTATCCGCGGTAGCCAGCGAAATATGTTCACTTGCTCCGAGGTCGGATACGTTCACAAAAGCGTCGAGTGCAGGGAGTGATATGACCGAGCGAAAGAGAGGGGAAAGGGTAGCACAGCCTGAGCATAAAGAAAGGGCGGAGCACAGTATAAGTAGGGGAGAGAGTATCTCTGCATGTCAGCGAAGAGAAGGGAAGGCAGCGCCCTTAACTCGCGGGAAGAGAAGCGCAACCAACAAGATCATGATTACGAAAGTCAATTAATCACGTTCCGGCGCCAACGGGATCCTGCCAAGTGTGCGTTTTTGGATGGACAGTCTCATGAGGAGACGTCCCCGGAAGGCATCTGAATCAGGATTCGGGAGGAATCAAAAGTGCTCGGTGCGCACAAGCTGGACAGCAGCTTCGGTGATCTGACACTCGGCGGCCGAGCTAGGACAACCGATGCAGCGCAGAGTTCCGCTAAAAGTTAGGATGATAGATGGCTGGGCCGAAGAGGGATCATGTGAAGGCCTACGGACATGCTGGACAGCTTGGCCAATACACTGGCGTGTTGCCTCCAGTCGAGTCGAGGCGAGGCGAGCTGGACGAGCTCGATATAACTCGGTGGAGCGAGTTGAGGCTGTGGGCCAATCAGAGTCCAAGACTGGTCCAAGTTGTACCAACTCGGTGCGAGTTGGCCAGAGTTGAGCTCAACTGGGCGGCAACACTAGCGCCGTCTACCCATTCGCAGCACATGCTGAGAATTGATAAGATGCCGATTGGTTGAAGAACTTCCGCAGCTGTGTGGGCATAACTCACGTAGAGGAGCGCAGATCAAGGCATATGGCAATGCTCGAGCGGATTCTCGAAGCAGCGCAGTCACGTTGCATTTGTTGGCGTCACCTGCACGACAGGAGGAGAGCATGGCATAGCATGGCATATGGAGAGGGAGCTGAAGAGTAAACTGTTGGTATGCAGCATCACCACCACGGGGCCGCTGCCCGAGATTAATCAGATACGCGGATGTCTAATGCGCCACAAAGGCCCAAACAAGCGCCCATCACCAAATCGGGGAACTTGGTTACCTTTGACTGAACACACAGACGCCCAACCACTAGTCCGGGACCGGGTCCTTACGGCAGCGCTTTCCATGGCTAGCGCTCACGCAGTGCACGCCCCGAAATATGACGTCGCAGTCAAGAACTACTGTACTAACATTTGGGCCCAAGGTTGTCTTCTAGCCGAGTAGTCGTGGACACAGCAACGTCAGCACCAACAGTTTCTGTGGTGTAGGCATGGATGATATTACAGGTAACCTACAACAATCGACATCCCTAGCAATCTCGGCCGCAGGTTCAAACCATTATACAATCGCAACAAATCGCGCGTCATTCACCTCCTGCTGCTGCTGCTGCTGCTGGTCGACTTAGGCTTCCCCAGCCTTGACGCGCTTGCCTTCCTCGACCTTGGCCTCGCCCTTCTTTCCCTCGACTTTCCCGAGCAAGATCTTAGCCTCGCCCCTCATCTTTTCCATGAACCCGACCTTCTTCGCCTTCTCCGCATGGCACGCCTGCACCTGCGGTAAAGCGCTCGTATCCTGCTTCGGGGCCTCCGTACTCTCGGGCACAGCGGATTCACCCTTCACCCCGCCAGCAGCAGCACCAGCGCCACCGGCAGCAGGACCGCGCGTGTCGGGGTGCAGCTCCGCAGGGTGATAGTCCGTATCGTATCCCTCGGCCTGCAATTATGGCGGTCAGCAAATTCAATTCCTGGCCCAAATAACAGACGGAAGAAGGGGAGCGACGCCCGCACCTCCATCCATTCGATATCGACGCCCACGCCCCTCTTGTACGACTCGCCCACACACACGCCGTGCCAATGCGCGTACGGTGAGCCCAGCGCGTGCGTACGGGGCGTGAGCGTCGGGTGGAGCATGTCCGCCTGCTCCTCATCTGCACGCGCGTCACTCACCTTGCCTTCTTTGTGCCCTGCGCTAGGTACCGCCTTTCTTGCCGTCTCCTTGGTGTTCTCCGTCACCTTGCCCGTGGTGCTTTCCGACTGCCCCCGCTGCTCTTCTGCACGCTTCTCGGGTAGTGCCGCAACTCCCGACTCGCCCTGCCTGCCTGGCAGTTCTCCCGCCTCGCTGACATGCTCACCAGGCTTGATTCCTCCCTTCTCCTGACTCGGCATGCTCTGCGCACCGCCGGGTGGGGTCGCGTGAACTCTCTCGCTCATCGCACCTGGGAATATGCCCACACCACTTTGCTGCTCGTATGGTTGCGGGCCCTTGGCCTTCTGGGCAGCGCTGCCTGTCGTCTCTGACGTGGCGTGTGGATATGGCGCGGATGGATATGTGCCTGGGCGCACATGAGCACCGTTAGACATGAGAAGTAATGCGCTCACCTCCGACGTCGACGTGCTGGTGCGTCTCGTGTGTCATCATGGGCGCCGGTGCTCCAGTAGACTCGCCCACAGCGGGTCCGTACGGCGCAAACGGATACGTGCCTAACCATGCGTCAACGCCATCGAGATTTTGAACGAAAATTATTCACCTGCGATGTTCACGTCTTCGGGTTTCGGCTGTGTATCGGCAACACCGGCCTTAGGATCCTGCTCCATCTGACGCTCGTCGGGGAGGCGGGAGACGGATTCTTCGGAGACGGAGCCGGGCAGCGAGCCCGCGCCGCCGACGTGCTCATGCTCGCCCGCACCCATCGTCTCGCTGGACGGCAGCGACGTCGAGTGTATTACATCGTGCTCGGATGCTCTGACGGGGGAGCCCTGCGTCGCACCCGAAGCTGCAACAGAACCCCGCACTTTGTAAACGGAAACAATGGAAGCGACAGACAGCACTCACGCATATAGGACGCGATGTACTGGGCGGTACTCGCCGCGGTGCTGGTCACGGTCTGCACCGCACGGCTCGCAGCGTCGCCAAAGTCGATTCCCGCGCCGTGCTCAGCCTGCGCTTTCGAAGCTGGATCCGACGCAGCTGGGCCTGCCGTCGTCGGCTTGTTTTCGCTGTGCGTCTGCTGGGACTTGGGGAAGGCCCCGGGAAACTCGACACCGGGAGTAGACTCGGAGCTGCGCCCTCTGCTCACCGCAGGGGCAGGTTCCGGTCTGGAGAAAGCGGCAGTCGTGGTCGACCGTGCCCACTCGTCTGGGGGCGTGCCGGTCTCGGTGGGAAGTAGCGGCGGAAGATCTGCAGACATGGTTTGGTCGTGGATATTAGGACAGAATGAAACAGAGTATATGTCACTGCGTGGGTGGTGGTGAGGAAGACTAGTGGGGGAGAGGGGCAGTGGTAGCGGAGTATATAAATCAACAGGGGCGATGGTGAACCTGGCCAGGGCGCCGAGCGCCACTGACGCGACCGACGTCACGACCCGCTCTGATGTCATTCCCCAATATGGTTTTCCTCCTGCCTTTTTCAGCACTCACCACCGGGCGCTTGCGACCGTGTCGCACCGCGACGACGGACTGCGTAAGCGTGAGCGGTGACGTCGATGTATCCGTGAAGGGAGACTATCGGAATCCTTTCCTATGTCAGAACACATCGATAGGCGCTCCGGAGACGAACGTTGAAGGCAACTATGATGGCCTCATAAGAGGCATAGTTATACCAGCTCCTCAAAGACACCACGTACTGGATCTATCCGACACACTAGTAACTTGAGGATGCCGGGCTGCAGTGGCCAAGCAGTTGATAACATCGTTCAATTCAATTCTATAAGGGACGACAATTCCAACCGAATAACACGTAGATTCATGAAAGACGTCAAAGGCAGGAGTATGTCTGCAGCAGTAGTGACGAAGGAGTCGAGATCGACTGGCGTGAACGCAGCGTCAACGCCAGAAGACTCGACAGTGCGCAGAGTGTGAGGACACCTGTGTCATTAGAAGGTGCGGCCGCCTCGTACGAGATCTCAACAGCAGGAGGCGGTGTGATGGTATGGATAGCGAGTGGCTCCAGTCTCAAGATAACTCATTCATATACAGATCCTGTAGTGACGTGGCGATATTCAAAAGATCAGTCTCATGGAAAGCCCTAAATAGCGCCGATCTAGCACACTGTGATTCCTCTCTGTGTTCTGACAATGCAGGCGAGCTGTGCACATAACAGGAGGGTGTAGCGTATGCTTGATCTTGAAAGGACGAGGAAAGTACAGTCGAGAAAGCAAAGACACAATGTTTCGATATCGCACCGTGAGTGTGACTTCCAGAAAGATGGGTCGCAGCGAAGGTTAGTGATCTGCGAGAAGTACTGCTGATAAGAGACGTGTGGATCACACATTTGTCTCTTCGCGACTCTGCTGGGATACTAGAAGTATCCGCGGGCAGCTACACAAAGGAAATCGCTGTACGGACAGCGGTGAGTATACTCACAGATCATCGTAATTGTATCCCTGTCGCATAGCTGTCGAACTTTTGGTGAGTAAGCATGAGTTTTTGGTATAGCAAAAATATTTTTTATCCATGACACTCCTGCACGTATGCTCAGAGGCACGTTGATACGATGTCAGGAGGGCGTAAGTCTGCAGCCATCGTGTGCGGCGAGAAATATGCTTCGGTCCATTTCTCCTCAAGCTCGATGGGCGGCCCGTGGATGACTTGCTGCCAGTCATGTTTGAGCATGCACACGAGATGGCCATGGTGTTCCGTGTGCCTGACGCACAAATGTCGAGAGGTGCACTCGATTCGTGCATTTTCTATTGGTATCAGTGGTAAGTCTCGATAGCTTCTGCTTACTCATTTACGCTGGCCTCTGTTTCAATCAGAAAGAAATATATTTGATATAAGCTACACATGCAGCCCCAAATAATTCAGCGTCGTGTAGACAGAAGGGTAAAAAAAGAATGCACCTGGGTCTGTTATCCTCCACTTTCTACGTTCTCCGCACCCCTCTAATGACCGCACCTGGGAAGAAGTTTGGCGCACGAATGAAGCACCCTACAAATGTCTTACAGGGCAGCAGGAAAAGCGGAGTTATGCGTTGAGCTTCGCAATTGCCTCCAGGCATAGCACGCAACTGTGGACATGGAACTGAGGTTATTGTTGCGAACAATCTGCTTAATCATCAGAGGACAATTTTATGCTCTGGACAGTGGGAGAAAGACGCACCCAAAACAGCAGATGGTTAAGCTGTCACTTGAATGCTTGGTGATGGTGAGGACAGCGAAGCACAAATTGACAATTACACCTCTCACGCATGAGCTTTCCCAGTAAGGATGACTGGCAGAAGATGAAAGCAAGCAAAGAATCAAAGCATCCAGCAGTTGCCGGGCGTGCGCAGGCGTGAGCAGGGGATCGCTTGATGGTAGAATTGCAGTCTCAACACCGAGAGGTTGTAGGACAGCCAGCGTTATGTGATTGTGCCTGGCGGGAAAATGTCGGGAAATATGGTTTATGCCGGAAATAGGAATGCCAAGAGAATGGGGATCTGGGCTCCGCTGGCATCCCATCTGCAGCCACTGCTGCAAGTCTGAGACTGGACGCTCTCGTCAACCTCTCTGACGGTCTCTCTGTTACTATCCCATCCAGGTCTCGCTCGTCCTGCGCTCCTTTCTTCACGATGCCATTCCCAATAAACATCTGCCAGAGGCACCCCCGCTACGCCGTCACCCTCCTCGCCCTCATCGTCACCACCTTCGTCTTCCTCTCCCCCCACGACGCTTTCCACTCCGTCCCCGCTCCCGTTTCATATGTCGTCCCCGCACCCGACCTACCTGCACGCATACTCCGCTCAGAGAACTCCTATCAGCGTATGCTTGACCAGCGCCAGGACATGATCAAAAAATTTGGCCCGAGTCCATCTCAGGTCGTCATGTACGTCGTCAGCCCAAGTTCGCCTAATTGCCTTGGTCTCATGCCGTGCTCCAGGTTCCCGCCAGACCAAGAACCATGGCCTGCGTATACCGTCTGTGAGTACCCTTACGATTTCAGCTACTCGGATTTGTCTAGAGTTTCCGATGCTATCGGAAATAGCGCGACTGCGCACGAGAGTTTGCACGCGGACAACTCCGCGAATGTTCGTTTGGCTCAGTCGCCACTTAGAGTTCATACGAATGTCCTTGGACACATCGAGATTGTGCTTCCAGGTACTGCTGCTGTCAATGCTCCCTGTGGTTTTCCGTATTGTTCTGACTCCTTCCTAATTGCTATAAGACCTCTCGGAATATTAGAGGCTGGATGTCGCGGGAGCGCCGAAGGTAGTTCCGCTATGTTATGAACATCTGTTTCAAGTATCGGGAGATGAAGCTTTCAGTGTCGAACTGACGACGCATCGATTCTCAATCTATCAAACTTTCGACCTCTGCATTCTGATATCGCTCAATGCTCACTCTAGCCTTGCGGAACGTCAATACTAATTCAATTCTCAGGGGACTTCTTTCCACCAGTCTTTAACTGTCCCCATGAAGCCGAACGGATAGGTGCCCTCGGCGACGGGGGCAAGTGGGTTTGCGGACTTTCTCGGATCGCTGAGAAACCGGATTGTGTGGTCTATTCCTTTGGCATCGACTGGGACTCTTCGTTCGAGGCTGAAGTGCTCACGCGTACACGACATTGCGAGATCTGGGGCTACGACTCTGTTGAAACCGGATTTGGTTCGCAGATCCCCCGTGCACAGCGGCATCGCACCCACTTCTCTCGGGTTGGTCTTGCCGCGGCTGACTCGCACGGCTTTAACGACGAACCGAAGCTCTGGACACTCAAGAGCCTCATGAAGGCGAACGGTGCGTCTTCTAACCGGGATTTCTGAGCGATTGTACTTATCCAGGTGGCGGAAGGTCATACGCACATTGACATCCTGCACATCGACATTGAGGGGTACGAGTTCGAGGTGATGCGCGCTCTCGCGCACGACTTCGTCTCTGACCCGAGCGCGCCTGGCACTCCCGGTGTGTTGCCGTTTGGCCAGCTGATCATCGAGATGCATGTCTGGCACCAGCGTTTCACGGACTTCCTCGCGTGGTGGCAGATGCTCGAGGGCGCGGGCCTCCGACCGTTCATGGCCGAAGTGAACTTGGTGTACGCAAACTACAATAGGCAGAGCGGAGTCGAGCTTGCGGATGTGCGTCTTTGTTGTCATTTTGTCGGTTTGCCCATTTTTTGCTTATGCGTCTCTACAGTATTCTTTCATCAACATCGCGGGCGATAACATCTTCATCGTGGACCCGTCCTCCACTGGTGCAGGCATAGTTGCACACCCCGCCTATACGTTAGATGACGCGCGGGACGCGGATGATGAGCCGGACGTGCGGACGATCCGGCACGCGGTCGTGTAGACCTACTACACGTACGAATGCATACCAACCGGAGACCGCGCCGCGTAATACTCATCCACCGTAGCACTGTCCCGTCTAGCCACACTATCCACGCTGCCCAGTATCCAGCATACTTGAGATCTTGGTTACATATTCCATACATAGCACACCCCGACGTCCGTACATGTCTACTGCTACCGTACTGCACCCCTGCGTGGTTACTCATACCCGTGGGCGCTCTGTGCTGCTGCCTCTGCTACTCGCGCTGTACTAGTTTGCTGTATTTATTCATTTGAGAACCGAGCTTTGCACTAGACGTCGTCAAACAAGGATCGTACGTTGTTGGAACACGAACAAGATGAGATGCCAGATCTACGATTGATCGGAGGTTTTCCGCTGTCGACCTTGTCGCGGCCCCATTGGCAAGCTTGGGCTGAGCGGCATTTGATGAAAACCTCGATGATTTCATCATATGCCCAGTAGAATGGCACCCCCACTGAACTGTTGGAACATCCCCAACTCCAGGAACTGAAGGAGGGCTTTGTCGAAGGGAAAGCATCAGGAAAACCCAACCTTTACTTATGGCACTTATTGTCTTTTGTCTTATTTAAGGCCCATAAGTTCCCAAAGTCAACTTTTAGGCCTCTAAGAAAATATGACTTATGGATTGTTTGTCCTTTTTTGCCTTATTTAAGGCTCATAAGTGCATTTAAGTCACATGACACCTCTAAGTACAAGTTAGGTTTTCCTGATGCAATGACCACCCTCCCTGTGAGTCACGCTGAACAAATTAATAACAGTAAATAATCATGGTGATGTGAGCCCCAGTTCCCAACTCCAACTGGTGATTCATGGTCTTTGTACAAGATTTTATGATTGATATCTAATAGAAGTACATGTAGTAGTAGCTATGTCGATGCAGCTTTTAAATTTATTACTGGGTGTTTGTAGCTACATTGATGAGCCTTCATTATCACTTTCATCCAAATAGCACTGGTCAGGTGTCAAGTGCAGTGGCAAAACTCCAAAGTAAGGGATGAGCTTATCATTGAGGAAGCTGTGAGATGTTACTCTAGGATTGACAAGAAGAACAATTTATTACACTTCAGGGTACCCCCCAACTCAGCCTTTGAGGTTGAACTTAATCACCAAAGGGTTGTACCTAAGAGGCTGTTTTGGCATGGTCTCCCAGGTCTATTAGATATGTCCCAGAGCTAGTATTGGGGCAGGACCAGAGCAGGATCACTGTATAGATGAAAACTTCTGGTAAAGGTCCTTGGAACATGGTTCAGACCTGTTCTGCTTAGGCTATGGCACGGGTCTTCCCATGAGTGTCTGAGACTATACGCACACCCATACTCGTTGTAAACCCATACCTGCAATCTATGAGTACAACAGGTATGGGTACTCACAGGTATGATACCTGCAACGGGTCCTGTACTACAGCACACGTCTCACGTAGATAGTGTGCTGTACCACATAATGTAACCACTACTGAATAGAATCCCACCCATCTTCCATTTCCTCTTCATCACCCGGCACATTAGCCATCACTGTGACTGCCTTAACATCAGCATCCTCCACCATACCAAGCAGACTCCAAGACCCGAGGCACAGCAGTGCACGGATAGTCTGTGCTGATAGCCAACTATGGACATTACGATTCCTGAGGTACGAAGAGAATCGTTCTTATAAGCGGTGTGTTAGAAAATGCGGGGGCTCATAGCCCTTTTGGGAAGCGAGGAATTTAATCTGAGAGAATCAGACCGGACACGAGGTAAAGGATCGGGACAAAGATGTGGCTGCAGAGCTCTCTTTGCTCCAAATATAGATATTCTTTTATATAATGGCCACATTATGTAATTAATCTCCGCTGTGGCGCATCCCTTGGATGCCCTCGGATTGCCTCTTTTCCGGCCATTTCCAACACGGTGGGCCTTTGGAGGCTGATCTGAACCGTGACACACTTTTCCCCAAACTGTGGGAAAATCCTAGAGATAGAACTTAGCTACAAACATTGTAATAACTCTTCTTACCCAACTACAAGTTGACTATAGGTAGACATTCAAAACAGTCGTATTGAAAACCAGTACGACTTGTATAAATAACCATCAACAGATGCATGGCTGTAGCGCTTAGATAACAGATAACAGCTATATGTCAGGGAACATTGAAATTACCTTTGATGGAGTGTTGTACTGAGTTTGATGCATTGTAACCATCACTATTGAATTGAAACCAAAAATAGACCCAGTTAGCATATTAGAACATTCAATTTCATTAAGATTTGAGTGACAAACCACTTTTGCAACACTGAGGTAAACGGCAAGAAGACCTGCTCAGTCAGTTTCCTAATTTGGGAACTGACTTACCTGAGGTACTCATAGTTATTTAGGTCATGTCTCTAATTTTTCCGCTTTTTTCCACCTTCTTTAAAAGATTTCTGACATTAAAATACATTTGCCCAAATTGGGAAAGTTAGGAGGCTTACTAAACATTACTATACAACATGCTAGGAGTCAATATATCACTTTGTAGGCTACTGCAAGGCCCTTACCGACTGGTACTAGGTGGTATACTAGACTATTGTAAGCATCATATAAACTGACACTAGGTGACATATCTAATTGTTATAAGGCCCTTATAAACTTGCATACTAGGGCATTTACTAGAGATTACTAGACACTATTGTAGGTTACTAGTGATGCTTACAAAGTGACATCAGGTGACATATTCAGAATATTGTAAGCTCATCACAAACCGATACTAAAGAGTACATTAGGACCCGGTGTAATAGGCTATTGTTGACTTGCTGAATGCTACTAGACAATATACTAAGAGTCAGTAGGTGACTTTGTAGACTGTTATCAATGTATAGTGGGACATTGTAGGACACTTACTACACATTATTAGATGGCATACTGGAAGTTAGTAGATAATATAATAACAATTTCTTGTATACATTTTTTGTAGTGATTCTTGTAGGCACATTAATAACAGTTTCTAGCATCATTTTTTGTAGTGATTCTTATAGGCACATTTGTAACAGCCTCTAGTGTCATTTTTTGTAGTGATTCTTATAGGCACGTTTGTAACACTTTCTGGTGTCATTTTTGTAGTAGTTCTTGTATGTACGTTTGTAACATTTTTTGTAGTGATTCTTATACGCACATTTGTAACACTTTCTAGTGTCATTTTTTGTAGTAATTCTTATATGCACATTTGTAACACTTTCTAGGGTCATTTTTTGTAATCATTCTTATAGGCATATTTGTAATAGTTTCTAGTCTCATTTTTTGTGGTGATTCTTATAAGTGCATTTGTAACAGTTTGTAGTCTCATTTTTTGTAGTGATTCTTATAGGCACATTTGTAGTAGTTTCTAGAGGCATTTTTTATAGTAATTCTTACAGGCACATTGGTAACATTTTTTGTAATGATTCTTATAGACACATTTGTAACAGTTTCTTAGGTCATGTTTTATAGTAATTCTTGTAGACACATTTGTAACAGTTCTAAGGTTTTTTTTGTAGTAATTCTTATAGGCACATTTGTAACAGTTTCTAGTGTCATTTTTTTAATAATTCTTATAGGCACATTGATAACATTTTTATAGTGATTCTTGTCGGCACATTTGTAATAGTTTCTTGCATTATTTTTTGTAGTCCTTCTCCTACTATGCCTTATTATACTGTTTATTGAATTCTAGTACACCCTCTAGTATCAGTTTGTAAGGGCCTCATAATGTTCAGATATGTTATCTGGTTTGTGTTTGTAAAGGCCTTACAATAGTCTGAAACGCCACCTAGTATGGGTTTGTAGAGACCTTACAATAGCTCAGACTTGCAAGACCTGTTACAATTGTTGTCATAACCTGTACTTATACCAAAACTCCGAGCTTGTAGTGCTTTTAAGCTGCCCTACAGCAGTTACTAATGCAGCTAATAACCTGGAAGCCAAGCTTTATAGTGGCCCCGGGTATACCTGGTGATCTGCTCTTTAGTCCAGAAACAGAAGTGCTGACTTTGAACATTTTGCTGCATTTAGTAATTCTTCAGCCACCAGAGCGCTGAGAACGAAAAAAGTGTTGATGCACTCGATTTTTTGGATCGCATCGACACTTTTTTCGTTGTCTGCTCAAACCTTAAACAATTTAGGCAAGCCTCTAGCAACTGGTTCCCACACTTCTAGCCAAACTTGCATGGTTTGTAGCTCACTCAATTCTACTCGGATTTTGATAAACCCGCTAGGCATTCTGACCGGATTCTTAAGCTGAATCTGATGGTGTCACTTTCAAAATATCAGCATTACTTCCTGCAGTGCTACAATCCATTTTCTCTGTTTTCTCTCACTTCTGCTTGTTTCTTCCAGGAAAAACAAATGTACACTGCATGTAATAAATAAGGCGCCCTATTTAAGATGTTTATGTGCATTATAGGGTTATTCCGCAATTTAACTGAAATTTTTACGATTTTTCTACATTTTAGGCTGAGCATTTTAATTCAAAATTCAGGTATCTCAGCCAGTTTTACTCAGACTTCCTTGGTTTAAGAGAGTATTCTGCACTATTTTATGCATAGATTTTAATAATACTCAGGTCTACATCTCAGAATTACTATATGTTTCCCTCACTTCCCTAACTATAATGCATCACAGTGCTGACAAAGTGTAGATCAAAGATTAGTTCTGTTGTAGTATATGTTAAAGCATGACTGTACTAGATTGTAACATAGCCAAATGTATGTTTAATTATAAAAATATACAACTGTAATACTTTTGAATGATAAGTGCAAAAAAAGAGACTAAACACATATTAGAAGTATAGGTCTGATAAATATTAAAATCAGGAATCGTCCTTGCCGTGCATTAGCATCGGCCCACTCCAAGCAAGTGAGAGAGGAGGAGCCAGCCACAGCTAAAGATCCGCTCGACATCGACAGAAGTTGCTTGCAAGAAAATTAGCTTACCACAAGTAAATATACAAAGCAGGATACCTACCTGGAATAGTCAAGTAATCCAGAG